AGGTTGTATTGTTTATTCTTAGGTATGGATATTAATTTAGGCACACTCCACATGTCTTTCTACATGATAGAAAGTAAGTAGTGCTTCTCTGCAGGTGAACAAAAAAAAAAAACAAAAACAAAAACGAGAGATGGGGGAAAAAACTTATTTTCCATGTAAACACATTGTCTAAGAGTTAACCTAAGCAACTAGTAAATCTGCTTATAGTACAATTGATTATCCTGTGATTTTTCATAGATTTTAGATACAAATACAAGATACATCTGTCAGGTCAATAAATGACAGACATCACTAATTTTTACCAACACTTATTTTCAACAAAATTCTCAAGGACATTGGCTATTGTCATTCTTACCATTTGCCAAAACATCCAATTGAAGTGTTTTTAAAACACTATTTTCCAAACTCTCTTTACAGACTAGCTCATAAAGTTTATTGAAAACAGAACCTGATACCTACCTGAAAAAGCTGACCAACAAACATTGCTTTGTGTTATTGTTGGGTTTGGTTTATTTTTTTGCAAGTAGGCTGGAATTCTTCAATAGGGGGAAGGCTGAGACCATCTGCAGTCAGATTAACAGATGGATTAAAAGCACACTCAGATGTGGGGGCACAAAAGGGGGGAAAGGACAGAGAGTATTGCAAGCAGCTGCAATACAACATCACACCTTTACCTGATCCAGGTCCGTAACCCAGTATGCTGGTTTCAGCTGGGATTGAGTCAATTTTCTTCTTGATAGCTAGTACAGTACTATGTTTTGGATTCAGTATGAGGAAAGTGTCGATTATATGAGTTTCCCATGCTCTGGTGGTGAGCAGATGCACAAGAAGCAGGGAGGCAGCAAAGACTGGGCAGCTGACCTGAACTGGCCAAAGGGATAATCCATACCACAGAATGTGACGTTCAGTATATAAACTGGGGAGGGAGCTGGCCAGTAATTGTCAATTGTTGCTGAGGGACAGGCTGGGCATCGGTCAGCAGGTAGTGAGCGGCTGCACCGTGCATCATCATATGATTCTCTTTGGTTTTCTCTCTCTTACCCCTCTCTAGTCGCGCAGCTGTCCGCCGGCCCCCAGGGCTCACCACGCTGGCCCGGCCTCAGCGCGGTGCACGCATCGCGCACCGGGAACAGGACCACGCTCCCGAGCGCAGATGCCGGCGCCGCTGCGGCGGGCGGAGAGCCGCGCAGGTGCCCCGCGAAAAGAGCGAGCGGGGAAAGCAGCCCCTACCTGCCATCCCGGTGCCCAGGGGCGCCGTCTTCGGAGGCCGCAATGGCTCCTGCTGCGGGAAGAGGCCGCCCGGCTGGTGCTGCTGCTCCTCGGCCGAGCCCGAGCCGCGGGACGCGCTGCCCGCGGGCCGGGCCCCGCCGCCGCTCTCCGGCGCGCCGTCCCCGCGGCCCCGGCCGGCACCCGGCACTCGGTCGAAACTCTCCGACATGCTGAGTGAGGCCGGGCGGCTCGGGCGCTTATGGGAGGGAGGAGCGGAGCGGGGCCGGGGCGGGCAGAACGCGGGCCCGCCCCGGCCCCGCACTTTCGGTTTCACCCCCGCACGGCGTCGCGATGGCCGCGCCCGCCCAGAGCCCGCGGCAGCCTGGAAACGGCGTTTCCAAAGGCACCGTATTCCCTGCGACTGCATCTCCACGGTAACGAGAGGGGCGAGGTGACCGTGCCAGGGCCCAGGCTTCAGCTACAATAGGAGACCTGCAGCCACAGGTGCATCACGCCAGCTGTGCATACACAGCTGTTTCTACCAGAAGGGGATGGGAAAGCTACAGGCGAAATTCTAAATTTAATCCCATAAAGTCAAGCCTCCAATGTGACCATATTATTGTACGGTTAGGGCTACTTAATAGAACTATATTTGTTCAGAAAAATATATTTTCATTTATAATTTGCGCATGATGTGATAACAATTGCTCTTCCGATTTAATGTTTAGCAACCACCTTCCACACCAATAGGAACCAACTGAAGAACATGGTCCATGTAATTAATTTTTCCTAATATTATCACATAAACTGAGAATGGTTCAACTCACATGTCCATTTACAATTCAATGAATCTACTCTTCAGTTTCAGTCCAAAGTCTTGCTCTCATTGTTTTGCAAACTCTGTATCACAATCAGCTTTCAAGAAGAGGAGGGCAAGTGTAATCTGGTGTGCCACAAATACATCTCAGCTGATCATGCTAGGGAGTTTATGCTTTGTCTCCCTGAACAGTCTGGTCTGTGCTGACCTTGCCACTTGTTCCTGCCACAGGAAAAATCAAAAGATTGTGTGGCACTGGGTCCAGCTCCATTTACTGCTCATGAAGGGGTGAAAAAAAATAAGCAAGTATGTATGAAACATTATGAAAAATATCAGAATAGTGTTGTCTTGTATTTAAACAAAATCCAATTGGATTGTAAAATGATGCCTTTAGAAGTCAAGTTTCTGTTGGGTTTATTATTACATGCTACCATTTTCAAATATTAACAGGGGAGGGGTAGGGTATAAAATATTTGTTAGCTCCCCAAAGCATGAATTGGACTGATTTTTGGCAAGATAAAAAGGTGGCCAGACATTAAAGGTGTCATAAGTTAAAATTAATGAGGCTCCTGGGGAAACTGTTCCTAGGCAACCCTTCTAGAAATATAGAATGGTAAACTAATAAATCTATACTCTGCAACTGAATGTGAGCTGATGCAGGATGTTTTGAATGAGTTGTAAAAAAATATATAATATTTCACTTGTGTAAACCATTGTCAAAACTAATTTCAGTAGTATTATCAATTCTTTAAAGATCAAAAACTAGCTCCTAAATGTCTACATTTAAAATATTCATTGTTCTTTTCTTATATCAGCTCCGGTTTTAATGCCTATATTATGACCTCTGTCCACATCTGTTAGACTTTGGCTTACCAGGAGGAGAATGAAAACCTTACATTAATGTGAAGATGAAAAATGAAGTTCTCCACCATTATATAATGGGATCACTTTTGAATATGCCCATCTTTGAAGTTAGCAAATCTCACTCTTTATGCTTTGCCTCTAAGAGGAACTGAATGCCTTAAGTTATTGAACAAGACAAGTTTTCACCTTTGGACATAAATGTGAGTTCTTTACACTTAGCATTAGTAGACATTTTATATTATATTAATTAAATAACCATTTGGCAACTACTTACCGTTTAAAGTGGAATGTGATCCCAAATCCATATTTTTTCTTACAGATGCACTACTTAAGCTTGCATGAGCACAGGTGAGTTTGGTTGGGAACCCAATTTCCTCTCCCCAGTGTAGGTGCCTAAAACAAAATAAAGAAAAATAATCAGGTGGTTAATTCCAAAATAACAAGCCCCAAGTACTACATACAAGAGTACACCCCTTTAGACTGCTTAACATTATGCTTAGAAGGTTTTGACCTGAGTAGCTGAAGTCCTGTGAATTACTTCAAGCCTCTGAGACCACACAGCAGAACCCCAGAGATCACTAAACTAGGCAGACCTAACATAAGCACCCAATGACTGGATTGAAACTTTCACCAAATACAATTATGAACACTCCTAGGCAGCCACTAGGAGACCCCTGCTTTGTCCTAAGTGTCTTACCTCAAATCTAAAACTCAGCTCAGAAACCAAACCCACACACACCTTCAGTGCCTGGTGCCAAGAAGCCATACACTGTAACCTTATCACTACTCAGAACAGAGGCATTTTTACAGAAAATAGGCATTTGCTCTATTTCTTTTTAAATGCTGATAACATATTTCTAATTAGGAAAAAAAAAGGGAGAGGGCTGGTTCTAGCTTTTGAAGTGTAATTTTTGTTAATAGTTAGAATTATTGCAATCGCTACCATACTGATGAGGCATTTTGTTGTAGGAGTCAATGGTTATTGAGCCCAAAACATAAAGCACAGGCATAATCTGTAGCTCTAAAGTTCTACAGATTTCACACAAGCTTATTTAAAAGCACAGTAATGAACATTTAGTAGTAGAGAAGCCTATTAATTATTTTCAGGATAACTCTCATGTTTTCAGTGCTTAACTTTACCTGCTAAGTCACCATTTACAAGTCTGGAGGCTATGTGACATCTCCAGCAAAATGCAGTTTTCATGAGTAACTACACAGACTTAAGTAATCTAAAAAAAAATAAAATAAAAAACCCAAACCAAAATACGCCTCATACATGGAACCCACAGATCGCGTGAAGTAAGACAACATATGCAGGACTGTGTGAAGACAGCGTATGGAGGCAATGGGCAGTGTGGCTGGCTGTCCTCTGGAACTGCCTCTCCAACCCCATGTGCTCTTCACCCAGCCATGTATTATTTCAACAGCTATAGAATCATAGGAGCGCAGAATCGATTAAGTTGGAAAATACCGCTGAGATCATCGAGTCCAGCCTATGAGCACGACAACCAGACCATGGCACTGAGTGCCACGTCCAGCCTTTCCTTCAACACCCCCAGGACGGTGACTGCACCACCTCCCCGGGCAGCCCATCCCAGCATCTATTCACACTTTCTGTGAGGAAATTCCTCCTTATGTCCAAAGTGGACACAGCTCCCCATTTTCTGTTCCCGTACTGCGCCTACCACTCCGACACCTGGCTGCTTTATCACGCATTTTAAGAAGTACCAATAACGAAGAGGACACCACTTACGTGCAATGGCGTTAGCCCCACGTCCAACACGCGCGTTTCGGCACGTCCCCTCCGCAGCCCCGACCACCGCCTCCCCGCCGCGGCCAGCCACGGCAGCTCGGCGCGGTGATCTCGGCGCGGTGATCTCGGCGCGGTGATCTCGGCGCGGTTATGCCGCTCTCCGCCGCCGCGGGCTCGGCCAGGACGCGGCGGCGCCGCCACCGCCCCTCAGACGCCGCGTGACGCTGCCGCCCGACCCCCGCGCGCCCCTCAGTCCTTCCGGGTTGGCGGCGCGGGCCCGCCGGCCCCGCCCCAAGGTCGGTCGGAGCCGCGGCGGCGGTGCCGCGCGGGGCTGCGGCGGTGCCGTGCGGGGCTGCGGCGGTGCCGTGCGGGGCTGCGGCGGTGCCGTGCGGGGCTGCGTGCCGAGCTCCCCGCGGACGCCCGGGGAGCGCGGCTCTGTGCGGAGCTGAGGGAGGAGCGTGTGCGGGGCTCCGCGCGGGGCGTATGCGCCGCGTCCTGAGGGGCTGCGCCGGCACCGCCTCGTTCTCCTGGTGCGTGTGGGGGCAGCCGCTGGTGGGGAGAAGACAGCGGTGCCACGCTGCCGGGGGGCAGGGAGGGAGAGGCAGGGAGCGTGGCGGGACGGGCGTGCGGGAGGGGCAGGTGGCCTGAGCAGGGGCCCGCGGGAGCGGGGAGCGGGGAGGTGGTGGCTGCGGGGTGCCCCGAGCGGGGACAGTGCATAGCAGGGGACGAGCCGCCCGCCCAAGGTCATTCGGGCTGTAAATAGCGACAGGAGAGAGAAGGGGCCGCTGCCGCGGGGGCCCGGCGGGATCCCGGGCGAAGAGCACATTCCCGGCTTCCCTGCCCGCTTCCCAGCGTGTCGCGCCCCGAGTGCTCTGCTGAGCCTCCTGGGCGCCTGCAAGCTGTCTCCCACCCAGGGTGACTCCCGAGGAAGCTGTGTCACGGATTGGAGTCCTTTGTTTGGTGCTTTGGGGCACCGCTGTTTTCCCATACCACAGTTACCGTTTTAAAGCAACGGTGTAAAGGGAAAATGGCCCTGAGTCGCAGAAATGCGATCCCCAGTTCGGCTGGTCACGCCAGTTGCTTTGGTTAAGAGCTGTCTTACTTAATTTGGGAAAAAAAAAAGTTCTTTTTCTAGCCTGAGAGATAAAGGCGGTGAGGAATGATTGTCTCGTGGCTACTGGCAGTTGACTGGTTCTAAACCTGCAGCGTTTACATGCCTTCTGTCCAGTGCCATTAATAACTCTTGATTTGTTTTCACATTTGCTGTAGGGGTTCCATACGTGGCAAGGAATTTGTTGTGAGGTCTGGGTGCAATGGCGAGCCTTCTGCGTGTTGCTGTGAGTGGATGCTCGGCTCCTGTTTTTGGCAATGTGTTCCCACCAAAGGCACGTGCCACGAAAGTGCTGGGCTTGCGAATGTTTAGAACCCACCAGGTGCTTGGGTCTCAGGCAGCTCCAAAGCCAGGTAAATTGATTAAAGTACTGTAAGCAGTCCTTTATTTTAAACATTAATTTAAATGGTTTCTTTTTTTTTTTTTTTTTTCCTTTTTTTCAGATCTGCATTAGTACAGAAAAGACTTAAAATAGAAAGAACACTTAAAGCATGTCAACAGTGTACTTTAGTCAGTTGCAGCACAATTTTAGACTGGCTTTATAGGACTTATGCAGAAGGTGTTTGTGTTTATTATGAATACTTTAGATCCACATAGTTTTTGTGGTTAGAGGATTTGATCTCCTGCTAATTCTTCCCTTGCTTGAAGGAAGTATTTAAATAAATGCTTTTCTTAGTTAAATTCCCGAGTTCCCCATTTGTTTTGGTAGTGCAGCTCTTTGTGTGCATGTGAGAGAAAATACAGACCTCGCAAAGACAGCATATGCTAACATATGTAGACATTATTATCCCATCTTAAAAAAAAATCTCTTAACTTTTTTTAGGAAATACTTACATTGTATCGCTTTGAAAAACTTTGATCTGTGTCTTCATGTGAAGGGTTTGTTAGTGTATTTGCACAAATTGCATTTCAGCAGATAGTGGACAAATTCAGGTATTTTCAGGAAAAAGAACCTGGGAAAGGGGGCACTCTTGTTTCCAGTTTCTAGTATGAACCTGGTATGTGAAGATCAGAACTGACAATTTTTTTCTCTGTTCTATACTGTATATAACCTGACAGTTGAAAGGGAGACTGAAGAATACCTAATGCAGGTTTAATGCTATTTTTGACCATTATTACTGCATGGCTCATGTCTCCCTTGGAATTTAGATACCCTGCTTCTGTGCAGATGCAGGATCATCATCTGCAGAAGATTATTGTGGAGAGTTGGACTGGTTGCACACATGATATTTGGTTCTTCCAAATGTAAACAGTAGGTAACTGCATTAGGTACTTGAGAGTATAAGGAAATTAGTGCTGGGGGAAAACAGAAGTATCTGATTATGAAAACATGGGATACATAAGTAGCATATAGTAGCTCAGAGAAGCCTATGTTGTGTAGAATTTGTGGCAGTACTAACAATGAATGGTGCATTTTGTGGTCCTTTCAACTTGGTGACTGAAGATTTTGGAACTTCTGAAGAAATGTCATGAGGGTAAATCTGTAGCACAATTGTGTGCTGAAACCAGAATTATTTTGATAGATTTGAGATGTTCTCAACTTTTTTCCCATGTTAAATATCTGAATGAAAGAGACATCTGTCAGTCTTCATATGGCAGATTGTCCCTTGGCTGGGAGGATAAACTGGAACATAAGAAACTAGGTACAAAGTTCTTTCTCAAATATCCCAGGTAAGTGTCCTTGTTCGAGTTTGGAATCAATTTTGTATTTGGCTTTGACCACAAATTTAATCAAAAACCTAAATAATCTCTTGTTTTATTGAAACTGGTATGCTATTCTGTGTATGTGTGAATTTTCTCATTTTTAAGAATAACTTTTGAAAAATTTTCCCACAAGGATGGAGAATTCTGATTAGTGTCATATGTTTAAATGCTCAGTGCTGCCCTGTCAAATCTGTTGTAAGTCTTTATTTAAGGACTACTAGTATTCGTGAAATGCAGTTATTTAATATGGAGAATTACAAGTTTGGTAGTCTTTTGGTTGATAATTAAGCTGTCCTTGTAGTATGCTTTAGTAACATGTGATTTGTCATTCAGTAGAGGACAAATCAAGGAGAAAACAGAAATTTATTGACAAATTAGAAGCAGGGCTATTTCTTATATTTATTTTTTAAGCGCTCTTGAATCAAAATGTAACAAATTCAAAGTAACTGTATTTTAGTCTTTCAGAAATTAGCTTTGATTTTTGTAACACTTGGCAAAATCGCTGCATTACTAAGAAGAGGAAGTTTTCTGAAAAGACTAGTGTCACAGTGATTCTTCTGAAGGCCATAGTTACTACTTTCCTTGTTAGGAAAGGTTAGCTTTCACTCCAGGCTATGATATGAACAAGAACATAACTGCTGCTTGAGGACAAGAAATATGGGATACGGAGTCAGCTGAAAAGTGAACTTGGAGCATGGATAATTTTCTTACTGCCAGCTATTATGCTGCTACTTGCTTAATAGAAACATAGGAACTTTCATACAGGTGTAAACAAGTATTCCTATGATCTGTGCCAGTAGTAGTAGGACCAGCTACTTCAGAAACAGGTACAAAACTTTCTGAAGCCCTGGGAAGGTGCAAATGGAGTGACTGACTGAGCTTCCCAGTATAGTTCCAGATTAGTTTGTCCTATAGCTCTGTGACTTTTACCCCTCTCTATTTTGGAATTTTAAATATCCTTTTTATTTTGAGGCTTATTTCTTAAAATTTCCTGTTTTTTTTTCCTAAACCTATAACAGTTCATTTTTAATTAGTTCTCTAATTAAAAATAAGCTTTATTTTATTTATAAACAAGAAATATTATCCTTTAATTTCAGTTTTATTTTTTAAAATTCCTTATTTATGTAATAGGAGGGATTGGGTGTTCATTTAATCTTCTGTACCATTTGTTTTCTTTTTGCCAACATCATATTGCTGTTCTTCGGAATATGTCCTCATCTTCAGAACAGGTGAGATGGTTTGTTTAAAGGTTATTAGAGAAACATAAAAAATAGGCATCCTGTTTTCAATCTCAGAACACAATGGCATATAGTCAAAACTTCTCCTTTATCTTTTCCTTAAGTCAGTTCCTATTGGTTGATACTGTTTTGTTGCAGACTACTTCTCAAAAGTCAGGTTAAGGACATCAAAAAACTGTATTTTCTGCTATAGTTTTGACTTAGAATCTTCTCTAAGATTCTTGTATATAGAAGTTACATGGAGAAAGTCACAATTATAGTTTTGTTTACTTGAAGTTTGAATATTACACAGTTAGGATTGTGGTAAGGGAATGAGAGAGTGGCTTCTTCATAGTTTTTAGAGGTTCTAAGTTATGTATATGCCAGAGGGTTTCAATGGAATGTATATTCCATTCTAAGACCTATGAAATTTAATGAGTCTACTTCTGATAGTGTCAGAATCTAAGTACTGTGTACCTTCTACTCAATATATTAAAAAACTTCACAAGTCAAAAAGATGCTTCAGGCGTGTGTATATCACTCAGTATTTGGAAGATGTCCATGATGTTGTAAAGTAGTAAGTCACTAAATCATACTCAAGGCAGTACTTAAAGAGATTATCTGGCATGAAGGATTAGAGGGACAACTTGTAGGCTTCACACTCTCATATAACTTTAAACCCCTGGCAGCGATAGCATGAGCTTCCTCAAAATAAAACCTAAACCAAGGTCCTAAGTTTATAATCTGAGATTTCAGCCTTTCAAAACTATTGACTTAGATGGAATTGCTGAATCCAGCAAACCAAATTTGTGTTAATTACAAAACTTCCACCAGGTAGAGTATTGATCATACACTGGTATGCATGTCAGCACAGACAGGTAGGACAGTCACAAAGTCGTGTCTAGAATCCATTACTTCACTAATGAGGTGTTGCTGAAGCAGCACCCGGGCAGAGGAAAATAAGCAGGCAGAGGAAAACAAGTGGAGACACAGGCACCAGTAAATCATGACAGACCTGCTGTTCACATAGGCTTATCAAGAGTTATTTCCAGCTGAAAGGGAGCTTTGCAATCCTCTGTGCCAGTGTCCTGCTTTTTAACCTTTTCTCCCCAAGACCTGTACTGCAGTTTTAAGATAGATCTTTGTTTTTGAGCTGTAAATATCTGCTCCATTTTGGTGCTGAATCATGTGGAAGCTCAGGGCAGTCTACTTAAAAAATGTCCTCTGGCTAAAACCTGGCAAACTGACAGTTTGCTTATGTATTAATTTGCTTTTGTATTTATGGATTGCTGGAGTTCTGGTAGTGGGACAGAGAAGAAAAGTAGGTGAGACAAATGAGACTTGTTGAATATTTATCTTGAATTTGATCTCCCAAAGCTCTGGAGAAGATCATGTTCCTCAGTGCTGGTCTGTGATCATTCTGTTTACTAAATGAGGTGCAAATACTTGCTATTTGAAAAAGTTGTACTAATTTTTATTGCATGCAAGATGTACCAATAAAGAACAGGTGAGGAATGAGGAAATATACCTGGCATCTAGTGAATGTATATTTCTGTTTTTTTACTCCTAGCCATTTACGCTTCTATTCTGATACTCCACACAGAAGCAAATTAGCGAAAGGAAATTAGAAGCATCTTTTCCCATTTGAGCTTTAGGAGCAAAAATATTTGCTTGAGAAAAAGAAAAGCTTTAGCCAAATGTTTTTGTGCCTTTAAATTTGCAGTTATCTATTTCCTTTATGCTATAATTTATTCCTTCCCCTGTTTTCTCCTTCTTTCCCCTCCCTATTTTCCTCCCAATTTTCCTCTTGTTTTTCCTTTCCCCTATTTTCTGCAATACTTCTCCCTCCTTTCTTCCCCTTTGGTATTTTTGTCCTACAAAAACTGCCAAAATGAGAAAGGGAAGGTAGGACTTTAGTTCTTAACTTTTCTTAGTGTTTTTTGAAAAGTGTTTTACATCCTATCCTACCCTAGAGCTACTTCCTCTCTGAAATTCTGATCGGTCTCTGTTGTCCTAACAAATTTCAATCTTCTAGGTTTCATTCCTGCTTCTAAAAGACAAGAGAGCTCATTTCCACCAAGTTGATTTAGTGAAAATCAGAAGCAGGACTTTATTGTGTAGTAATTTGAAGAGATGAGGAGAAAAGTCTCTTCAAATGAGAAGGGTAATTTGAGTGACAGCAAGTTACCACAGCTGGTAACAATGTTCAGTGCTGTTGTGGTGGGTATGGCCTGAGCTGCACGGTGATGTTTAGATTTAGTGTATGCTGGCGGAACAAACCATTGCAAATTTCTGTTACCTTTGTGGGTCTGTTGTTTTAGATGTGCATTTTTGCTTCTGTTTCGACTTTATGTTCTATGAATGTATGTTTTTCTGAATTGGAGTGTTGTCTTGTGATTAAAATTTTTAAAATGTTCTCCAACATAAAAAAACATCAAAATACTTCTGTCTTCAAACTATTCGTTACTATTTTACTAGTCAAATTCCAAAGGCAAAGCTAAAAAAAAAAAAAAAGTAGAAGTAATTAGAATCATAGAATCATTGAGTTTGGAGAAGACCCCTAAGATCAAGTCCAACCTTTGACTGAAAACCCTTTTGTCAATTAAGCCATAGCACTAAGTGCCACATCCAGTCATTTCTTGAGCACTTCCAGGGATGGTGACTTGACCACTTCCCTTTAGCAACACATTCCGGTGCTTAACCATCCTTTCAGTGAAGAAGTTCTTCCTGGTATCCAACCTGAAGCACCTGTGTCTCAGTAAAACCGCCCCTGCTGCAGCAATTAGAAGTAATTAACTTTTTTGTCTGGTGAGCTTTCATTCTGTCTTGTTGGATGTGTTATTTTTTTTTTTTATGTGTTAGTAGGCTGAGAAGTATAAGTAGGTATTTAAGTACCAGTTTTAGCAACTCTGTACTGTTTTTTCAGAACATAGTATGTTGACAATACCTTGAAAATTTCTAATGAAAAACATTTTCAGATTGTCAACTTGAGGCACATTGCCGTCCAGGTTCAATTTCACAGATAAATAATTTTGATATTTTAAATCTAAATTTAGTTCCTCAATGCTCTTCTATTGTAGTATGTTTTTAGGTGTGTTGTTTTTTTTTTTTTTTTTTTTTTTTTTTTTTTTTTTTTTGAAATTCAAAAGGAGGCCTTCCTAAAATTTATGTTCTTTGCCTGGTACAATTTTTGTGTAGCACCATGCATAGTGTTGTTGGACAATTTCAAAGAGATTTGTGATTTTAAACAAACCTCTCATCCATTTTCTCCCCTTTCTTTAGGTTTGGAGTTTCTTTGGTGGGGTTTTTGTTGTTGCTGTTGTTGTTGCTTGATCATTAATATGAGTGGCTGCTTAGACTGCTCAAATTATAGTTCATTAATATTTATGTGTTGTGAATGTCATGCATAGTAATGTCACAATCCAGGTTTAAATTCTGGATAGATGTCAGTGAAATCTGGTATAGGATTCAGCCTCTGTGTTGGACTGCATGCTATCAGTGTAATTGAAGCAATGTAATAGTTTTTTTTGTATGATTATTCTGCTTGAGCCTGTATATTCATAAATAATGTATTTGAACACTTGTTTGGATCAGAGAAGTTTACCTCCCAGATATGAGACTGAAAGCCCCCAGATGGTACTCAATAAGGTTAGATGTTTGTAATTTGAAAACTTTAACTAAAACATAAATTTCAGCTTCAGCAGTTTCATGGTGTTACTTAGTTGAACTTTTAACAAGTTAAGAAAAAGGAATAACTCTGAAGAGAAATATTTTTGAAGAAACTAGTAGCTGGATATTCTGTTTCAACTACTTCTGAATTCACATTTTTCATTTCTTTGGCAGCTCTTAGAGTAGCTTATTGATGTAGTTATGCCTTTCAGTGTACTTTGTGGTGTGCATGTAGCATTCAATAACAGTGATTTGGCATAATTTGTAATGTATTACAAACATATTCAGTTAAAATGCAGTTCCACTGTTCAAGCTCATTTATTTCTTTCTTCACAATAACCTGGAAGTGACTAGAAAGTGATTTAAATTCTGTCCTGAGGCAGAATGTTTTAACACCAGTACACCAGGTATTGTGTAAATCAGAATGCCAGTTACAAAATTAGAGCTGTGTAACAACAATGAGTATGAACTGCACCAAACACTTGTTACTGCTTGTGTGGCTGATTGTGCTCACCTGCTGATCGCTGAGAGAACATGGATCTCTAGGAAGATGGTGTAATTTAAGGAAATGTAAATTATGTTCCTAGAAAATAGCATTCTGCTTCCTCCTCCCTTAGGAGGGAAAATTGCTAACTCTGACATGTGTCTGCATGTATCTGTACAACAGTGAAGAGTGTCCGTTATGCCAGTTAATTAATGTTTAGTACAACTAATCTGTCTTATCTGCCACTCTTACAGGAATTCCTTATAAACAACTGACTGTGGGTGTCCCCAAGGAGATATTTGAAAATGAGAAGAGAGTGGCTCTGTCGCCAGCTGGAGTTCAAGCCTTGGTTAAGCAAGGCTTCAGTGTTGTGGTGGAATCTGGTGCTGGAGAAGCTTCTAAATTTTCTGATGACCATTACAGAGAAGTTGGAGCAAAGATCCAGGGGACGAAGGAAGCCCTGGCTTCTGATTTGATTGTGAAAGTAATTGCTTTATTAGTATATTTCCTATTACATTGTTTTTGGAGAAATGTATAGGTAATTTTTTTCTGATAATCTGCGGAAAGTTCAGTAAGCAAGGTCCTTTAAATTAGTGTTTTTCATTTTGATTTCTGATTCAAGTTTTGTTGTTTTTTTTTTTTAATAGCTCACTAAAAGAAAGCTACACTACAAAAAAGTACATTAGGTACCCTAAAAAAATAAATTACAGTATTGAAAAAAATGTGGATACTATCTCTAGCGAGTTTTTAACTAAGAGTTGTGTTTTCTAGAGTGAGGTAGACTAACTAGTTCTGGAATCTAATCAGATGAGATCCCTACTCTAAGAAATCTTTTATCCAAAATTGGTAACATATAACTCTAGTTACTCTTTAAATAGAGTGGTTGGGATTTAGAAAATATTATTGTGTACCTTCTCTGAATTCCACAGCAAAGATGTGTTTAAAAATTTAAAAAAAGATTTAAAAACACTCTTACTTGAGAGGTATTAAGTTGTGCAGAGTCCTGAAAGGAAAAAAAAAAGACTTTTACCTTATTGAGGCTTCCTTCAATTGCTCTGTTTAAAATTATCCTATCAGTATTGAACACAGAATTTCTATGAGCTGCTTTGTGAACCACTCTTTTAAGTAGGTTTCTGTTTGGAGAAAAGTGAGAAACTCAGAAGTGAATATAGATGAAGATCAGTGTCTGCTGGACATCTGGCATGAAATGCTCTGTATGTAGTCATGCACTATAACCTCATTAGTGATTTTTATTTTGTAGAGCTTAATTGTCATATCTGTTAAGTAATCATTTTGCTTAAAAATTTTGGGTTTGAGGGTAGCTGTCTGTTGTAAAAGCAAGTGACTGCTAGTTGGAAGTCATCAGATATTTGTGAAGGTGTGCGCTGACAGTTTTTGCCCTATCACCAATCCACCTAGAGCTAATTCCATGATGTGGACTGCAGCTGAGAAGTGCAGTTACTCAGTTCAGTTGTGTAAATAGTCTTTGATATACATTCTTCTTTCCATACCTTTTGGATGGGAATGAACAGAATGCAACCTGAGAGAAAGGAAGCGGAATGTGTTCTGGTTTCTCTCCTCTGATTAACTTGGAAACTTTTGTCTTTTTTCAGGTGAGAGCTCCTATATATAACTCATCTCTAGGTGTACATGAGGTAGATCTTTTCAAGACAGCAGCAACCCTGATTAGTTTTATCTACCCAGCACAAAATCCAGACCTCCTGAAAAAACTTGCAGAAAAAAAAGCTACTGTCTTGGCTATGGATCAGGTTCCACGGGTCACCATTGCTCAGGGATACGATGCACTTAGCTCCATGGCCAATATTGCTGGGTATGATTTTTTTTTTTGGCTTAATTAAGTATATCTGGTTTAAAATTATGTGCTTTGATATTAGGTATATTTAAAATTATTCTACATCTCGATTTTCATAGAACTGTTTCAAGCAGGGTGGTGTTAAAGTATTTTATGGTTAGTTTTACAGCAGATCAGAGCAATGCTTTTAAAATAAATAAAATTGGACACAATTCTTTTAATTCCTTGACTATTTTGTCTACTACCTTTTTGCTCTGATCTAACTTATCTTGAATACAGATTGTCTGTCATGGAGATCTGGTGTTGTTAAGAGCTAACTAACCCAGAGAACACTCAGTGTGAATGCAATTGCCATGGCAGTTACAAAAGATCAAATATTGTCAGACATCTCCATAGAAATATGAATAAAGACTATTAAATTGTGTTCAATGATAAAATACTAAGCTTGCTTTATCCTGCGCATATTCTGGTCAAATATTCACCTTTTAAATTGATGTAATTAATGGAGTTTACTGAATTAGAGAAAACACTGATGTGTGTTCATCCTTGATTGACAGTTACAAGGCTGTGGTCCTGGCAGCAAATCACTTTGGTCGATTTTTCACGGGTCAAATCACAGCTGCTGGTAAAGTTCCTCCAGCAAAGGTATGTGCAATTAAACACACTGTGTGGCAAAAGAATATGTGAATTTCTGAGCAAAGGTAGTTGTTGCTGAAACTATGTTAAAAGGCTTTTTTCCTGCCTTTGGGCTGTTTATAGAGACTTCAGCAATCAGTGTAATTGTTCTCATGGAGCCTTTTGTTCACATCTGTTCTGGTAATAATAGAATAATTTGAGTTTTATTTAAGTTTGCTTAGTTTTAAACATCAGATTAGCTATAAGGAGTTGGATTTATGTTTTCTTTCCAAAATAGGAGAAGGTAAGGAAGCAGTTAAGAAAATTCAGAGATATTTCTGGTGCATTGATATTTCTGGTATTTCTGGTGCATTGAGGAATGCAATGGAAAGAATTTACTTGATTGGAATTACAGATGGATTGGGGTGAAGAGAAATGAAAGTAGAATTAGGGAAGAAAAAGGAAGATAAATCAAGGAGAAAACATGTGTTTACTTAGATAAACTGTCAGCTACAGAAGAGTTGGCTCTTAAATATATGTAATTAGGAGGTACAGCTTTTAAACTGTTGGATGTATGGGGCAACTCTGCCCAATTAAATTTGGTTTTATTTGGTTTTATCCTAAGGTATCTTGTTTAAATGTCTGGCTAATGAGATTTATCATTTTAGGTGCTGATCATTGGAGGAGGGGTTGCTGGCCTGGCTTCTGCAGGAGCAGCAAAATCAATGGGTGCAGTGGTTCGTGGATTTGATACTAGGTAATGGTGTGAAAATTGTAATATCAATCTAAAATTACTTGAAGAATAAGTTGTTTATGGTTGTATTAGAGTGAAATAATTTGTACTACACTGAGTCATAATTCACTTCCTACCATTTTTATGCCATCATTAGTCCTTAATTTTTTATTATTTTAAAAATCTGTCTAAAACTTTTCCATTTTAATTTTAATTCCTTTCTTAAGCACACTAGATACCTTTATCTTGAGATTAAAGAACATTTATGTTTAATTCTCTTTATGTTGTTGCTGTTCACCTAACACTGAAATTTAGTCTCTTTGTTTAATGTGATATCATATGATGCAAAGTAAATTACAGAATATTAACAAGCCACAAACACCCACCCCCTGGTAGTTTTCCCCGTGAAAATAAGACTTACTAGTACTTCCCATCTCACTGTTTAAAGACAAGGTCACGGGTTCTGTGCTTATCTTCCATTTTAGGCACCTTAGTTTGGGCTGTGGGTTTACCAACGGAAATGCATGAGGAGAGTTAATCAACGAAGCCTTGTCTTTGAGGTTTTTCTTGAAGCAACTCTACTGACTATACAGGAAACCATAGATTGCCTTCATTCCTTATTCAAATCTGACTGGAACCTAAACTTGTCAATACAATTATTTTTTTGCACTAAATACAGAAAGCTGTAGACTTTTGTTATGGTCTCCTTAATACTAGAGTAAGTTTTACATCTCTTGTCTGAAGATTGCTACTAAAACCACTAGTAAAGTCATGATGCATTTTTAAAGTTGTGATTTTTCTCTCACAATTTTCTTTTTCTAGAGCTGCAGCCCTGGAACAGTTCAAGTCTCTTGGTGCTGAGCCTTTGGAAGTAGACTTAAAGGAATCTGGAGAGGGACAAGGTGGTTATGCTAAAGAAATGTCCAAAGAATTTATTGAAGCTGAAATGAAACTCTTTGCCAAACAGTGCCAAGATGTTGACATTATCATCACTACAGCACTTATTCCAGGTATGTTTTATGTGGAAAATGCTAATTTGCTTTCTTCTAGGTAAGTTGTCATATTTTGAGGTTGCATCTACATGAAAACATAATTAATGAATTACATCTGGTGAGCACATGCCTCACTTCCGTGATAAAGGCCTGGTTTTAAAGTGAGCCCTTTTTTAAGTAACTTTTGTTTTCAAAGACTATCAGTATGGATCAAATACTGTCATGTTTTTCTTACTAAAAAATGAGTATTTAGTAATAAAGTGAGAATATATAATTCTCTTGCGTATCTATTGCATCACTGCTATCTCTGCTATACAACTTATGTACTGAAACAAAAAAAGTCTGATTGAAATGGAACTGTCCTTTTTAATTGAAACATAATAAGATAGAGCTTAGATTCTAGTGCTTCGTGTTGCACAATGTTTGTATTTTAATAGCTTGCAATGTGGTGGCTTTTTTTTTCCTTATGGCTGGAATTGTAAGATTAGATATTAAGATTGTCGATTTGCTGGCAGAATTGGACTTAATCTTTAGTAGACTACTATGCATAACTTTCTTCTAAGATTTTGGAGCAGGATGTTCTAGCACTTCTTCTGTCTTTATAAAAAACTTCTGTGGTTTTTTAATCATAGGTACCAATTACTTGAAAATTTTGCTTACAAAATTAAAGCTTATATGTAAAGCAAAGAGGAGAAGTCTTCTCCTAAGCTCAACAGATAGAAAGCTGTTTTTGTTTAACTTACTATGCCTTGTTTTGTCAGGAAAAAAAGCTCCAATCTTGTTTAAGAAAGATATGATTGAATCTATGAAGGAGGGTTCAGTTGTTGTGGATTTAGCTGCAGAAGCAGGAGGAAATATTGAGACTACAAAGCCTGGGGAAATGTATGTTCATAAGGTAAGCATTTTAATCTGCAATTCATTCTCAGTTCATCTGAACTTCCATGGAATTTTGTAAACTATATGCTGAAAAGAAGCAGCTGAATTTTCAGCAGTCTTTCAGCTGCTTTGGGCTGAAGTAATCCTTTAGATTTGCATTTGGTCACTATTTATATGCATAAATTTGAATATTTCTAAAGAAACTTAACACCTTTGTGTAATGTTAATTCAATTGTTAATGGATATTACGGAATTGTTGCTAATTAAACTTCCAAGTCCAGTGTTTCTCTCTTCTGAGTTGAAGGTGGGATATGATATCTATTTCTTGGTCTATCTAAAAAACACAGCAGTAGCAATAGGTTCTTTGATTTGCTTATCACCTGCCACGACTGGAGGTTAACACTTCCTGTCATAGGCAAAGCTAAGCAGGTTCAGACTTTCAGTGTTTACCTCAGTACAAAGTCTCTGGCTTACTCAGTACTATTTCAGCTTCAGGAGGGTGCTGGCTTTGCTTTTCTTTATCTTCAGGAACAAGAGTGTGTCTCCCATAGAGTATCCAAAGCACTTGAAACCCAAACAAGATGTAGCATAAATTGGTTCCTTAAAGTAAGCAGTTTTGGTCTGGACTGAACTACTTTGGTTTTGCTCCAGTGTACATTTCTCATTTGAGAACTTCTCTTTCTTTTGGGTTTTGTTTTTGGTAGTTATGGGAAGTCTGCTAACAATTACAGAAATCTGGGTGATGAGATTTATAGTAGCAGATTTCCTAGGCAGTAATTTGGTAATGCAAGGATGTAATACCTTTATTTGCCTGTGGGACACGCTGCCATGGTTGTCATTGGCATAAGCAGAATTCTGTTTGTAGATATCAAAGAATCACATGTTGCATTTGTCTTTATGGCTTTCTAAGGCTTTTGATGTCATTGCTTAAAACCTGAAACTAGAGAATGTAGAAGACAAGTAAGCAGATAGATGCATGAAGGGTTTATATGGAACACTTTTAGTCAGAGGAGTATTACCCCTGGATTTAGTGTACTGGCTCTGTGTTATGGAAAATAGCAGAACTATTAGGATTGTGCCAGAGCATTGTATTAGGAAGCCAGAGTTTTGGAAGCATGTATGTATTTTAGCTTATGTAAGTTGTGGGAGCAGTGTTTTAACACAAGCCTGCTTTTGAACACCTAGAGTGTATGCCAGCCTCAGCTTCCCATTTCTTCCTAAAGCCTGATATCCTTTAGTTCCTTTAAGCAGTGGGGATATATTAGGTTACATTTTTACATTCATATCAACTCAGACATATCTCTTGCACAGCTCTGGGGGAGCTCCCTTCACTCCACTGGTATACAGAAACTTGTCTCCAGAGCCTGTCTTCCAGAAAAACTAAGACGCCAAGCATTAGGTGGATTAATCTGTTACCTGATTGCTTAAAGAATTTAGGTTCTGAGAGAATGTAGGATTTGGAGAAGACAAGCTCTCTCTCTGTGAAGTCCTGTTGCTAATAGAGTTTAAGGTGGTAGATTTGATCATGTTGGATTCTGCAGCTATTGTAAGTGATCTGTCCCTGATTTAGTAGTGTCAGAGCTGCGGGTAGCCAATTTAGTTGGGGTTATAAACTGAGATAAGTGATACAGTTTGGATAGGTATTTCAAAAGGATATACTGGAAGAAATTATGCTTTTTCAGAGATTGTGCAAATCCTTATTGTTTTACTTGGATTTTTTTTTAGGGTGTTACACACATTGGGTACACCGATCTGCCTAGCAGAATGGCTACTCAAGCCAGTACCCTGTATTCTAATAATATTATCAAACTTCTAAAAGCTGTTAGTCCTGACAAAGAAAACTTCTACTTTGATCCAAAAGATGACTTTGACTATGGGACTCTGGATCATGTTGTTAGAGGAACTGTAGTAATGAAGGTAAGCCAGTAAATACTCTATTCTTAATTTGTGAGTACAGACTTAACATTTATAATTTCTGTTTCTTCAAAATGTGTTCAGAGATAGTGCATGTCAACAGACTTCAGAGGTAGCTTGGTGGAATGTATGGGTAATTGTGTGTTTATTCAGCTGAAAATTCTTCTATTTCTTTTTAGTCTTGTCTTCTTGTCAAGGTTAAACCTAATGTATTTACTAATGAAAATATAGGAAAAAGATAAAGTTTGTGCGTTTCATGTGATAAAAACATAGCTACTTAAAACATATTTGAGGCTTTACCAGACCAAAACATTCTTCCAGAAAAATATTTTTCCTTTTTTAAGGGGGAAAAAAACCAACTTGTTCCTTTCACAGTAAGATAAAAAAAAAATGTTGAAACTAGAATATGCAAAATGCTTGAAGCTTTATCAGAAAATAATAAAATAAAAGCTCAGGGCATAGACTTCAGCTCTCCCAGACCATTGAAGTGGTGTGTACAGCTCAGTGCTGATAGCTTTACAAAGGCTTGAAGATTAACAAGAAATGTGGGATATCATCCTTTGTTCCTATCTGAGGTCTGGAAAGTCTGTGATTATAGTTCACATCTGTAGCAGATTTTGTTATTTCCAAGACTTAGTTTTATTTTGCATACGTGTTTTCCACTTAAGGAATTTTATCTCTTTGCTTTTCTCTTGTTTCTGCTCTGGAGCCTTGTGGTGTCTCTTTACCAGGTACTCTTGGATACTAATATCAAATCTTGTCTGAAGAATGTGTAAACCAGTATGATTAATTTGGTCATGTCTTTCAAACTTCTGCTGATGCAGAAAAAAAGCCTGTTCCTGGGCACGGCTGTAGGATGTTAGCACTTGCCTGAATTGCCTGATTAAGAAGAAAAGGCTTCTCTAAGTATTAAGCATCTGTCATGTTAGGCATAACTGTAAATATCTTTTGTCAGGATGGCAAAGTGATTTTCCCAGCACCTCCACCAAATAACATTCCTCAGGGAGCGCCAGTGAAGCAGAAGACTGTAGCAGAGCTGGAAGCAGAAAAAGCAGCTACTATTACACCTTTTAGAAAAACCATGACTACTGCATCTATATACACAGCAGGTATATATTCTCCATAGCTGGAGAATCAGTGTAGAGTACTTCTCACACTAATACTAAGCACTAATACTTTTGAATGACCCATCATCTAACTCATTCAATTGAATAGCTGTTTGGGAGTGCAGTTGATTGGCTGGTGTATCCTGGTACAAAATCAGCATAGTATAATAATTGCTTGAGAGGGAAAATAAAACTTCTGAAATTTTACCAAAAGTATTTGACATTTCAACAAGTGCTGTTTCTCTCCACATATATGGGTTTAACTCTACTTAAATATTAGTAAAATGCTTTAAATTCTGAAGGACTCCTACCAGGGACTGTGCCCATACTTTGCAGCAAAATCAGTTCAATGTCATTGCTTTCTTCAGATTTTACTGTATTGTGTGAGACTTAAGTTGCCACAGTCTACTGAAGTATTGGAAATAGGACTTTGATTTGACAAATATGTATTGGCTCTTAGTTTCATTTGTTACTCTCAGCGCATCAGAATTTTTGCATGAAGTAATTATTTAATTCAGTAGTCTTAATTTTAATTCCTGTTCTTCAAACATATGCTTTGATACACCCAAGCAATATTTCAACATAATTGTGACTTCTACATTTTTTCTATGGAACAGAAGAGTGGCAGGATTCAGTGTTGGTGTAGAAACCTATCTTTGCTGCATTGTGTCCATGTGTAACAAATACGTGTGGATTATATTTATGGCTTTATTTTCTGTTACAAAGGAAAGATTAGCACTGAAAGAACTTAATGTATTTGAAAAAAAAAAGTCTCCCTGATTTTGAAACTAGTCCATGCAGAGAATTCCATTTTGCTTTTGTATCAGTTCTAGGCTCCTGTTTATACAGTTTAAATCTAAGAAGTCATTGGAAAGTTAGAGTTTTCCTGTGCTTTCCTTCTAGGTTTAGCTGGTATGTTGGGGCTGGGCATTGTAGCACCTAATGCTGCTTTCACACAAATGGTGACGACATTTGGCCTCTCTGGAATAGTGGGGTACCACACAGTGTGGGGTGTGACTCCTGCTCTGCACTCCCCACTGATGTCTGTGACTAATGCTATCTCAGGTAAGTAGCTGTCACACAGCTGCTTGTCTTCTATTGAAGAAGGCACAACTTCTTTTACCTGAATTAGTACTAATGTGCATGTTTGAGTTTATTTTCATAAATAGCAAGGATGCCTGAAACAATGTATTTCTGAGAGTATGATTTTTCAAAAGAAAGGCCAATGTGATGCTGTATCCTTTTAATTTTCATAAGTAATTTTTACACTTGACCTATTTGCTTAGAAGTTTGTTTTACTTGGAGTGATGCAGTCTCTTTTTGTAGACCACATCTTTCCTCCAACCTCTTCAAAAGATTGCCCTGAAACCATCTTTCCTATTTTTTACATTCTTCTATTCATCTTCTCAAACTATGTGTTTTGAGAGAGGGGGAAAAAGAAAATAAATCCTCAAATACCCATAAAATTCATAATTCTTATAAGTAAGATTTTACGTATCTGTGTTTGGCTGTATGTGACAGGTCACAAGTGATCTACTTTGGTTATTATAAAAAAACGTTTCTTTTATTGAACATGTACATGGCTAACTCTGTGCTTGAGGCACTGTTCTTCAAAACTACATTCATATACTCATTTTTTTTCTTAATGGAACATGTTTGTATTCGTGAAAATGTCCATGGTAGTCTTCTTTTAAGCATTAATGTGTGAAGTGGGGGTCAAAATTTGAATTGACTGGTCCAGCTGTTGAAAGGAAACTTCCTATAGGTATAGAGCCTTTTAAGGTTACACAGTAACCTTTTCCAGTAACACTTTTTTCTCTTTTAAATAGGTCTGACTGCAGTTGGTGGGCTGATACTGATGGGAGGTCACTATCTCCCCCAAAACATTTCCCAAAGCCTAGCAATGCTTTCAGCCTTTATATCTTCAGTCAATATTGCAGGTATGAATGTTAACTTTTCTCCCAATGATAACTTCAAGTACTAGTGTAATTTTTAAATTTCTTCTATTTATTTAATTGTATAATTCCAGAAATACTAGTCTGAGAATAGAATCTGAGAGCATTTATCAATAAAAACCCATTAGCTCTCCTATTTTCACAGTAGTTATTATAGGTATTTTGCATACCCTGTGGAGTAACCTCTTCTAGGAATTATTTAAATGTGCATTTTCCTTTCATAAGTTTGGGTGGTGATTATATACAATATATTTTCCTGTATAACCCAAAAGGGTAGTTGTAGAGGATTTGTACTTCTGTTAATTTTCCTACTTGAAATACATACTAGTGGCATAGAGCAAAATTTTGTTTCCTTGAGCTTCAGAAGTCCCAACTTCAATAATAAAAAGACAATGAAGTGAGCATTAAGTGACTTAGAAATACTGCTTTTGCTAGAGCAGGTGTGTAAAAGAATGTAGTCATAAACTGATCCGTATGCTACAGTCAGTGTAAAGTATGGAGCCAGAGCAAGTCCTCCTTTTCTTCTGAATTTCTTCCATAGGCTAAAAGAGACAGCATGATCTAATCCTGATTATACCTTTGTTTGCTGGTAGTTTTCTAGGTTACTAGCTTTATTGGTTGCTAAATTGTATGATGATATGGTATTACTAAATATTTATTTTATAACTTGGAATGTGCTTGATTTCAGATTTTATTTTTTAAAGATTGCTCCTTTACTTTGTTCAGGTGGCTTTTTAGTTACACAGAGAATGCTGGATATGTTCAAACGTCCCACAGACCCTCCTGAGTACAACTACTTGTACCTGCTCCCTGGTGGTGTATTTGTAGGAGGCTATGCAGCTGCTCTCAGTGGTGGCTATAACATTGAACAAGTAAGATAATTTCATGGCTCTTAGCCCAGTGCTGTGTTATGTTTCTTCGTGTCTGTTCTGTTAAGGAGTAAATAACAAATAATCCAAGGTCTTTCCATCAGCTGCATGTTCCCACAAGGCCAGTCTGAAGCTGATCCCCTGAAAGCTTGCAGTTACATAGCTAACATACTTTAAAAGCTCTGTTGTTTGGTTTTGTGTTAACATAGCAGGTGCTTTTATTTATTGGACTGTTTTCCTAAACTGCAGTCTAAATAATACAGTAACTACAGAAATCAGTCTTTGTTTTAAATGTTTCTGAAAGTTCAACTTGGCATGACAGTTATAAAGGGATGGGATCAGTTTTCAGCACAGAGAGATATAGAGGGATTTTATCTGTAACACCTTTTATAGTAAATTTTTGTTTACATTTGTTTTAATAGTAAGAAAAAGAAATCTATAATGCATTGTGCATTTGGAAAAAGTGAATCCAGACATACTGTTATGGCAGGGGCCAAAATGTATTTATGTTTTGTCAATTATCTGGACATATATAGCTCAGTTCATGTATGTTTGTTTATGCCTTTTGCAAACAACAGTTATAGAGTGCCACAGAATCATTAATGTAGGAAAAGACCTTTAAGATCAAGTCCAACTGTCAGCCTTGCACCACCACCATGATCACCACTAGACCATGTCCTCAAGGACCACATCCAGAAGTTTTTTCGAACATTTCCAGGGATGGTGACTCTACCACTTTCCTAGGCAGCCTGTTCCAAAGTTTGGCCATGCCTTCCATGACAAAAAAAATGTCCTGATATCTAATATAACTTTCCCCATGAGCAACTTGAGGCCATTTCCTCTTGTCCTTTCACTTGTTATCTGGGAGATGAGACCAATTCCCACCAGGCTACAATATCATTTTGAGGTGTTGTAGAGAGTAATAAAGTCTCCACTGATCTTCCTTTTCTCCAGACTGAACAGCTCCAACTCCTTCCTCATCAGACTTGTGCTCCAGATGCTTGACAGCTCTGTTGCCCTTCTCTGGACTTACTTTAGTGTCTTTATTGGAGTGGGGGGTCCAAAACTAGACAGAGGATCCAAGATGTGACCTCTCCAGTGCTGACTACAGGGGAATGGTCACGGTTTTACTCCTTCTGGCCACACTCTTGCTGGTGGTTTAGAACTATCTGAACTATTTCTTAGTTCAAATTTGCCATAAACAAATTCTGAAACTATCCCTAGAATGAACAGGACCATATAGCTTTGGGTTTGTGCTAAAGGAAATGTTGCTTCTGAGCTGATGTGGAAAATTGGTTTGGCTCTAGTTAGTATTCTTCCTGCAGATAGAAAAGGATCATCAAGTGATGGAAAAACTTTATAGATATCACATTTTAATTGGCCAAAAACTCATCCTGTATGACAGTTCCTCGACTTTAGTTAAGAATTGTGACTTAAAGCACATTCTGGAGAAATCAGTTATTTTGTGTAATTATCAGAGATGTTTTTATAGCAGTGCAATTTGTCACTACTTCATACTGATGTTTTTTCTTATTTTAAAGGTGATGTATCTGGGCTCAGGACTGTGCTGTGTTGGTGCCCTGGCTGGTTTGTCTACCCAAGGAACAGCTCGTCTTGGAAATGCTTTGGGTATGATTGGTGTTGCAGGAGGTTTGGCTGCAACTCTTGGAAGCCTTAATCCCTCGCCTGAGTTGTTGGCGCAGATGTCAGGTGCAATGGCACTTGGTGGGACCATAGGTATGTGTATAATGAACTAACAATCTATGTTCCATTGCTGCATATATGCAACCTGTATATACATAAAGTACTTTATAGCTCACAGGTAAATTGACTAACTGACATTTGTGACTTGTGCAAAATTATTTGACAAATGTGTGAACAAAATATCGTAACTTTCAGGGCTTTTATTAGTGCTTCACAGTGTGGTAATGAATGGGCTGACTGAAAAGCGGGACCACATCATCTCTGATAGGGAAACTTGTGTCCAGAGGTAAATGATCTTGCCCACTTAATACTTCTGTTCAGTTCCTGACTGAATACTGCTAAATTCTCTCTTTCACACTGTGCCTTTGTCACAGACAACAATAAATTTCTCAATATTTAGTGAAGCTTCTTAGCACATGATATGCTTTAATCTTTCTATTTTTCATGATGCACAAAATGCATGTGTGTAACCTTCGGTTCAATGCCATAGCAATTTCTAGTTGGAACTGACTTGTGTATGTGTAATCATTGCACACTGAACCATCCTGTATTAATTTGTAGGTGAAACATGGGCTGTCTTTTCTAAGACTTCCTTTCTGTCTTCAACTCTCAATAGGTCTGACAATTGCTAAACGCATCCAGATTACAGATCTGCCTCAGCTAGTGGCTGCTTTCCACAGTTTGGTCGGTTTGGCTGCTGTGCTCACCTGTGTAGCAGAGTACATGGTTGAATATCCTCACTTTGCCACTGATCCTGCTGCAGACCTCACCAAGATTGTGGCATATCTTGGCACATACATTGGTGGAGTGACATTCAGTGGCTCTCTTGTTGCATATGGAAAACTGCAAGGTGAGACCTTCTATTCAGAATTAAATATTTGTTAAAGGGTTTTTCTTCCCCTGGGACTTAGCTCTACTTTTAGACTGCTATGTAATTGGAAAGAAACATTGTATTTTGGACCAGGTAAAAGTTTATATTTTAATTTTTACAAGTATACTTTTTTTGTTTCTAATTCTGTTTAATTTGTGTACAGCTTTAGTTATGAAAGATTGTCTTCAGTGGTTTAGCATACTATTACTATTCATCTTGTCTCAAAATAAGTGTTGCTTTGGTGTTAAGACACTACCTGATGCTTTTTCTTGAATTCATTTTATTGAACTTATATGAACACAACTTTGTATTTCTGAGCAGACATTTTGATTGAAACTCTCATGTTGCTGGATTCAGTGAGCATTAGTAATACTTTTAGGATTTTTTGCTTTACACTGCAATCTTCATTAAGGTAGGCAGCCTGCAATGTTGGGGCTGCCTTACTTTAAACCATTCAGTTCACTATCTCTTTTACCTAATGTGCATACTCCATGCTCCATGTCCCTTGGTGTTTTAGCAAATACGCTTTCTAAGTTAAATGCTCACTAATTCCTGCTTCTTGTGCATGTAAAAGTTTCTTTATTGCATTTATTTTTTGTTTTGTAAGAACAGAGCTTTTGAGAAACTGAGGTAATAATTGTACTAAGAATTTCAGGCTAAGAGCTTCCTATTACTAATCGTGTTGTTAACTTTGCAATAGTTCCTTTGGGAAACATCTGTTTGCTTTCTTCAGTGTTTGTGAGACCAGCCATTGAAGGAGGAAATATGACAAGAATGGAAAGCTGTCTTCTCTAATAATCTTTTGAAGGATTTGTCAGTAGTATGTATTTCTGATGTATCTCTGCTAAGTAGTTATTAATTTATTTCTTCTCAGTTATTGTTTTTCTCTCCATTTTACCACCTCAGTGATTTGTGCGCATGCCCCTGGTGAACTTTACTGCCTGTTTGAGCTTGCTTTCCTATTTCTGTTTACTTTTTTCTCCCTTGCATTTTCGTATTGTCATGGTATGAAATACAAAGCTTGTCTATACTAGTGAACTAGTGATCCTATGATATGGAAAAGGATAGTAAGTCACACACTTTGACTCCCTTGACAGACACCATCAGGTTTTTTTTGTCCCTTGAATTCAACTTTTCTCAATTCTTTATGAGAAAATTAAAATGAATGAAATGAAATAGCATTAAAATGAATTTTAAAAGAAATTTTTTTCCTCAAATTTAAATGAACACTGTTATTTCTGATATAAGTAATTACTGGGAAACTTGCATTGTTTCAACTCTTTGTCATGTGGTTTGAAAAAAAACAAACTAGTATGAAATAAATGTGTAATAAATGTGACTGTCTTTTTGAGCTGCATCACACAAATACTGAACTGCTTTTTCACCTGAAGTTTCTGCAGATGTGAGAAGCTGTGGGAGTTCTGTGTGACTGAGGGTAGTTGTGAAATTAATGTTTTTGAAAGCAGGAGTGTTTTGTACTTGGTGTTATCTGTGTAGTCATATTTTTTTAAGCACACTGTTTTTGAGAGACTGAGATAATCCTAGTTCCAGCTAAAAGCCTCTTTCTACTGTGTGTCATATTCCACATACAAAGACATGGAGACAATGGGGAAGGTCTTAGTTGAAGGAAAAATAAAAATACTTTTTGAAAGGAAAAAATATTTTCTAACTATTCTGGAGTACTTCACAGTTTAAAGAAGAGTATTTGAGAATCTAGAGGAAATTTGAATGTGTTGCAATTCTGAGTCAGCAGAAGATCTCAGCTTAACTAACTTGTTTTATCTTCTACCCCTCCCTTTTTTTTCTTTTTTAATTTTTATTTTGCTGAGTTACTCAGTCTTCTCTGAAGGCAAGCAACAGGCTTCATTGAATGTTCATGTTCATGTCTGAAAATGTTTGATTGCAGGTATCCTGAATTCTGCCCCTCTGCTCTTGCCTGGTCGACATGCATTGAATGCAGCATTGCTGGTTGGCAGCATTGGTGGGATGGTTCCCTACATGATTGATCCTTCTTACACCACGGGAATTACTTGCCTGGGTTCTGTGTCAGCACTCTCAGCCATCATGGTAAGCTGAGGAATTGTAGAAAGTGAAACAAGTTACACAGGGAGTTTTTTCTCCAGTTTTGCAAGTTTCCTCTTTATGTATTATATTTTACCATCCTGAGTCACAGTGGGCATGGTGCCTGCCTGTGTGGTAACTTGCAGTAGCAAGTAGCAATTGACTTTTTTAGATCTAGCTGTAAACCAGAACTGTTCCAGAGATTTGGAATGCATTTTTATACTTTTGCAGCTATTGATTAATGAAGTTTCTTATATGACGGAGTGATATTTAAGAAAACTTTTTAGAAAGTTAATCCCTAAAATACCTAAAAGAGCTCTGGATTTACAGATTATTGTGATTTAAGATGACTTCCAAGTGTAACTTCTGCCATTCATTTACACCAGTGTGTGCCAGTGTTGCAAAATTTACCTTGAATGCTACCATTCTGTAAACTGAGTCTTGCAAAGACCGTTCAACGTGAATGCCTTAATGGTATGAACAGCTCCATGGAGCTGGTAGGATAATTTTGCAAGTAAAAAAATGTAACTAAGAGAGCATGGGTATAGTGGGGTACCTTTGTACCTTTTGTCCTCTCTGGAAAGGCAGATTTGGTAAATGCAGTCCTCAGCCTGAATACCTACACTGACAATACTTGAATAGGCTCTAAGTAACTTGATAGTTGCTTAGAAAGGTTGTGGATGCCCCATTCCTGGAAGTGTCCAAGACCAGGTTGGATGTGACCCTGCACAAAATTATTTAGTTGGTAATATCCCTGCTCAAGGCAGGGCAGTTAGAACTGACTGGTCTTTAAGGTCCCTTTCAACACAAACCATTCTATGATTCTATATTTATTTTTCAGTGCTGCAGGCTGAGTGTCTTTTCAGGGTGTTCTCCTAAGTCATTGCTGATGTGAAGTATTTTCTTTCCTTCTCCAGGGTGTCACTTTAACAGCAGCTATTGGAGGTGCTGACATGCCTGTAGTTATTACTGTCCTGAACAGTTACTCTGGATGGGCTTTGTGTGCTGAGGGCTTTCTCCTGAACAACAACTTGCTGACCATTGTTGGTGCACTCATTGGCTCCTCTGGGGCCATCCTCTCTTACATCATGTGTGTGGTAAGAAGTCAACATAAACTCTGCTTGTTTGCTGAGTAATGAAAAAACTTTATTAACCATGTTTTTTTGGAAGATAAGCCATTGGATCTCTAACTGTTAAATGTTTATAGAGTAGAAAAAAATGCTGAGAAAAGCACTTGCATTGACTTAAGCATTAAGAATTTGAATTCAGGCTCAAAAGAAGTATGATTACTTATAGTCAGCTATTTATTTTTCAGTCATACAGCTTCTGAAATGTGGTTAAATTTAAGCTAGATTTAATATGTAGCAGGAGATACTTTAAGAAATGTGTTGGTTGGTTAGCCAGTGATTTACAGTTTGGTTTGGAGTGCAGAAAGGTGTGCCCTTTTCTTCAGAGCAGCTACGTCGGAGTACCACGGGGTGGCAGCAGTCCTGCACGAGTTCAGTGCTGATGCGCCTGTGTGTCATCGAGCTTGAGCTTCATCTCGGTGTGAGAGTTGTATTGTGTTATTAGTAGTGACCTCCTTTTCTCTGGAACATTTGTATAGAAGTCTTGTATTCAAAGATGGAGAGGAAATGGTTTAAAGAAAACTTTTTGCAGTGCAACAGCTGCCAGCTTTCTCATTCTCTGTTGTGTAATCCTGCTTAATTTCTGCCCTTGTGCTCTTGTGTGTTTGGTGCCACTGTTCTCCTGTCTGATGTTTTCCTCTGGTCAGCTCTGGCAATCATATTTTACTTCATATCCACTGATAAATAGTATTGTTACCATGTTAGGAATGTTCAGTATCATTCTTTTTCATTATTCCATCATTCTTCAGGAAGAATTTCAGAAAAGCTTAAAAAGGTATTCTTGTGCAACTACATGAAAATGAGTTCAAATGAACAATTCTGGGAATGAATTGAAAAGAATCTCATTCTTTCTTGAACATCTTCTGTCTCCTTATCAAAAGGAAATCAAATTATGTAGCTCATACATTTAGTTGTGTACAGTCAGGAATTTAGTCCATATCAGTGGAAAATAGTGCTTATGGATAACACAGGTATGAAAACTCTGTTCTTTAAGGATCAAATTCTTGTAAACCTTAGGGAAAATGTGAACTGTTTGGTATGTATTTACCAGTAATCTATCTATACCTTCATTTTTCTTTTACTGTCTCCTTCCTTTCTTAATATTGCTCCCCTCTCTTAGCACTCATAAGAGAGTTTTGAAATAGAAAGTTGGTTGTAGGAACCTAGGTAAATAGGAAGCCTGGGGGAGTAGTTAGCAAAATATTTAGGCTGTGACAGAGTGGCTTTCCTCAGAGTTTCTCAGATTACAGGAAGTTTAATTTTTGAGGTAGTGTCTAGAAATACTGTGCTGCTTTATATAAGTTTAGACAACTGAAGTTTATCAACCAGTAAAATGAAAATTATTTTGTATGATTTCTGTGCAATAAGCAGAATAACATGGCCTTAGCCAGAATTTTTTTTTTTCTGCTTTACTTCCTTTAAAGGAAATCATTACTTTTAAAAGCATAGTTATAATCAGGGGATTCAGTAGCATTGTCTTGAAGCTGCATTTCAGGAGACAGAAATGCTCAAGAATTTCAATAAATTCTGCTCTTGGTGTTTCAACTTGTGCTAATGAAGCAAAAGTTTCCCCTTCCCTTTTTAGGACTTTTTTCTTTTTTTTGGTCTTTGTTTACAGTTAGTTTGTTTTTGTTGAGGGTTTTTATTTTGTTTTGGTTTTTTCCCCCTACTTTTTAGTATGATTTCTGTCAAAACTAGGATTTATTGATACTTACCTAGCACAGGTAAAAAGGTATTTGTGGTCAAATCTTAGTAGTTGAAACCTTATTTTTACAACATTTTTCAAATAATTTTTGTGATAAAACTGTAGCTTAATTTTCCAAAGGCAGTCCAGCTAATCTCTTAAAACTGCAGTTGATAAGTGAGTTAAGGACAGAGAATTTAACTTCAAAAAACAAAGGCCTGACTGTTTGCTTATCCTGTGAATTGTGACTCTTTTAAGACACCAACACAATACATATTCTTCAGATATGTTAGTCTTACAAATTGTATGCTGGCCATTCCTGTGTACTAGCTGTGAGGTTTCTGTGGGGAGAGTGGAAGCACTTGCAGTTTTCAGGATTCAGGTATTTGATTTTCCCTGTACTCTAAGCTCATGACCATTGTTGTTACTTGTCTACACACAGTACATAGGGCTTTTTGCCACTTGTTGGATTATCAATGAGTGATGAAGCCTGCAATTTATACCTCTATATTTGTGGTCTGTGGTATTAAAAAAGGTGGAAGAGGCTACAGAAGAGTTGTCACATTGTCCCAGCTATGTTGGTTAATGAGTGCTTGGTAAGGTTATGGCTCTTCTGTGCCTTCCACATTTTCTCTTGGAAGTTCTTTGTGCTTCTCAGCAGAGCTGGGCAAGGGTGCTTCAATCTCATGCTTTCTTTTAGCTGATTGTCAGATTTATAATAATATTTTAACTTTTTAATTTTTTTCTCCTTTGACTTGGTCTAACTGTTGTCTTTTGGTTTAGATATGCTTTGCTTCCTGTAAGCTTGGTATGTGCAACATCTGCAGAGGGTATTTTTCTGTCTAGGCTGCCTTACCTGACACAAGTGCTGTAACATTGAGATAGATACCAAAGGCAGTGTGTTCTTAGGGCATGTGATCTACTGTGTGCTGCAGACAGTAAAAGATGTTGACTTCACTGTGTTTGTGTGCATCCCTTACAGTATCTGAAACAGTGATGATTTACCAGGAAAAACAGATGTTCTAACATCATTGTTCTGCTTAGTTGCTAGATAATAAATTTCAAAGAATGGCACATTTTCTGAGGCTATAGCAAAAAACCTGTAGAACTGCATAATTTGAAATGTCAGTGGAGAGTGGACATCTGGAAGCACAATTTTGTGCTTCCTCCTACTTATGTTTGTGTCTCTCCAGATCCATTCCTAAATTTTGTCTTGGTTTCTCAGCTAATACAGAAGATGTATGACTCATATGTGTAATTAAAGAAGCATTTTATCCTCTTCCTTCCCTGCTTCTAAAGTTTTTTCTCCCCTGCAGTCACAAGTTTTGCCTATTTCCAGTTATTGACAGATATTGCTTTGGAACCACAGTCACAAGTAGACATGCCAAAGAAAGCATTTAGCCAATGGCTTTTCCTGGCTATGTGTCTAATGGAGCCAGATTTTCAGGGTGTGTTCTCCTCTTAAACATTCTAGTTAAAATCTCTTGTTTTCCTTTGGTGGGCAGCCAGTAAGTCCATGGCCCCCTTCAGTTCTGTACAATGTGGCTGGTTTTGTGTGACTGATTAGCTACTTTTGTGTTTTCCTTTCCAAACAAAATTGCTTATCGCTGTAGCAGTTTTGCTTCGATACTGCCTGTAAGAGCTTTGTGGAATCCATGCTGCCAGGGAGCAGTGCTGTGTTTACATGTTGATTTGGTTAAAAACTATGGAAAATATCTTGCAAAAATGTGTGTGTGTATGTAAAAAAATTTTTAGAAAGTCTGTCATCAAACATGCATTCTTTCATATTCTTCCCTTTTAAGAACAAAAAGAGACCAATATTTGCCATTCACATAGTTTTGTTCTTTGTTTTGGAGAAATATTGGCGCTGTCCCACTGCATGTGTAATGTAATGAGTTCAAAGCTGATGTTTGGTGATGGCTGCTAAAGGACCTGTTTTAAAAGTCTTTGGATTATAAGAAGGCAAAACCAGCTTATAAAGACTATTTTCAGGAATTTATTTATTATTTATAAAGGTTTAATATTTATATTTATAAATATTTAATATTTTCAGAAATCTTTTTCTGAAGTTTTATTTGTGGACTCTCAGCTTTATTTTTGGATTTCATCTTTATATGATCAAAACCATCCTTTCTTTTAGGCTATGAACCGTTCCCTTGCAAATGTGATTCTTGGGGGCTATGGTACTGCATCAACAGCTGGTGGAAAACCCATGGAAATTACTGGAACTCACACAGAAATCAATGTGGACAATGCAGTTGAAATGATAAAAGAAGCCAATACTATTATTATTACTCCAGGTAAGACTCTCTTGACTTACACAGCAAGATGTTCAGAGGATGTAATTTAAAAAAAAATACCCCAACCAGACAAAAACACAAAACAAACCAAAAAATGGTAGTAGCAAAGAGGTTGCAGCATGGCAGCAGCATATCAAATGTTGACTGGGTCTATGTGATTTGTTTTTGTTCCCTGGTCAGGTATCATTCCCCTGTGCAGAGATGCATGCCACTTCATTTTTCTTTGTGTATGTGTCCTCAAAGTTTGTCTTTTTTATTTGCATTTTAAATTCTTCAGAACAAAGATTATCTTTTGTAAATTTGGCTTACACCACAACAAGCCGCACACAAAATTAACTGAATTTCCAAGCACAGCTATAGTACCAGTGCTATCAGTTGCATGAACAGGTCTGTTAAGTCCTGAAAGACAGGATTTTGTTTACATTTCTCATGTACTTGCTGAATTCTACACTTATTTATGAAAAACAAAGGCGAAAAACCCCCATCCAAAATTTAGTTCATATAAATACTGTAATTAAAGTAAAAAAAAAAAAAAAATGACCCAACCTGAAAACTAAAACCTGAATTGTCTGAAGTGATTATGTTGGCTGTTCATGTCATTTAGTAGTACATTCCCTGAAAGGAAAATCCAGGTAGGGGACAGTTCAAGACTTCTCCTTCAGTTGAATGGCATGACTATCAGGTTAAACTCATTTTAGCACTGGAATGTGAAGAATGCTAAAATACGAAGTTATCTTTCATTTTGCTTCAGCTTTAAAGAGACCACCAGTGAGGTAGGTTCTAATTTGGGAAGATACCTTTGTTTCTAAGGAAGCTTGCAGTCATCTTCAAGGAGTTTGGCTCTTGCTCCTGTGGTCAAACCTTGAGGACATTAATAATATATACTTCTTATTTTTCTCCTGGGTAGAGTTGCTCTGATGAATTAGCTCAGAGAGGCTGAAAAGATTATTTGCTGCTAAAGGCCCTATGCAGCTACTAGATTTACATTATGCAGATTAAAATTCTGCTGAGGATAATGGTTGTGAAGTAAACTGACAGTTGCCCTTTTATCAATTTTTCAAAATACCTGCCTGAAAAGCCTTTTCTGCTAGAGAAAGGAATATGTCTTTTTGTGAAGGTGAAGGAAGTGCTTTTGTAGTTTGACTGGTCAAATCATTGCGCTCAGTGGTCAGGAAATCAAAAAAGAAATTAATTACAGTGGTCAGGCTGGCAATGTATGAGAATCTGATGTGTGTTTTTTAATTTCTATCATTTATTTTTAAGTATGAGAGCATCTTTTTGTGTGGAAGATACACTTATTGTCTGCAACTAGCCTTTGTGCACTAAAACAGGAAAATAGCTTAAAAATTTGAAATTCTTTCAGGTTATGGCTTGTGTGCAGCAAAAGCTCAGTACCCAATAGCTGATCTGGTGAAGATGTTGAGAGAACAAGGGAAAAATGTCAGGTAAGTGCTTTCCTTGATGAAAAATATTACAGGTGGTTTGGTTTTTTCATTCCATTAAAACCCCTAAAAAGTCTTAGTTTTGGTTTAATGTTTTTTTCTGCATTGACATAGGCACAGAATAGCAAAGTTAAAGACGTCTCTGGAGATTGTGTAGTTCATCCAGCCCCCTTGCTCAGACCAGAATCTGCTGGTGAAGCTGTCTAGAATATTTTTCAATTGGATTTTTAATATCTTGCTCCAGAGATGGAGACTGACAGCCTCTTTTGGGTAGTTTCTTATGATTTTAAGTCCTTATCCTTAGGGTAAAACTGGTTTTTTCTGTGTTGCAATTTGCAGCTGTTCCCTCTTGCCTGTTCCCTGGATGCCCCTAAGAAGAATCTGTCCCTATCTTTTTTATTGCCCTCCATCTATATTTATACACATGGATAAAATTCCCTTGATCGTTCTCTTCTGCAGGCAGAAGAATCCCAGTTTTCAGCCTCTCCTCTTATGGCAATACTCCAAACCATTAAGCAAGTTATACCTACACTTATGGGATTCCTGTAACATTTTGCTGTTGCAGGCAAGACTGCTATTAGACTTCTTTGAGCATCTAATGAAGGATTATGGGAGTGCATGTCTCCAGTCTCATGAATTTATTTTGCTGGAGTGCTGCTCCAAAAACCAGATAACTCTTAGGTTTCCAGTATTGGTCTCAAGTTCTTTCCTTCTTTAGTTTTTCTGTAGACCTTATAGAATATGAAAGCACTGGAAAGCAAACATTATGTCTTTCTTGCTGATTGATTGAAATTTTGCTTGTTTTCTAATTATGATAAGTTAATATTTTAAAATCAATTGAGGCTCGGTTTTCATTTCAAACAAGGTATTTTGGCAGATGTTGGTGGTAGCCAGACTAATTCTCTGATTTCCATATGTTTATTTCAATTAGATGGTGACTTCCCTTTGGAATCAGTCCTCTAGGAATTAGGGCTTTTTGGTTTTGTTTTTCTTCTTCCACTACTTTTGCAACCTTATTAAAAAGTTGATTGTAAGCTTTTGCAGCGTATTACAGCATTGTATTGGATAACAGTAGAGTTCTAGGATTTAGCAGCAATAACTTGTTAGTATTTAATCAGGATTTTGCAATTTTGCATATAAAATTGCTTTATGGATGTATTTGTTTATGCATACATGAGAAATGAGGGTGTGTGGTGGTGTATTTGCTTCCTGGAGCAGGCTTGACACCTTGTTTCTCCATGTTTAGCAACAGCCCTGTGTGTGTTCAGATCACATTTGAGGACGCCTTAGTTGTGCAACAAAAAAAACCCTTTCATGGCTAATGTGATGACAGTCTTGTATACTTCTGGCTTTCCCTTCAGTGCTTCTGTGAGGAGTTAGCTCTTTTTTGACCAACCTTGGTGAAACAAAAAAAAAAGATTGTTTTTGCCTTTTACGTTGGCTTTGCAGGGGAGAAAAGTGAATGAGTCCTTGAAATAAATGGCTTATACTTGAATCTATTTCAGGAAGGAATCACTGCAGTGGTTACCTAGTATTTTAATGAAATAAATCTGTATTTACAGTTTGTGGTAACTCAGGCCTTTCATCACTTTGCTGAGCTCCCATGGTGTTCATTGAGTGCAGCTGTTGTCCTCTGGTTTCAGTAGGCCTGGAGTGCCTCGGGACCCTAATGCACTCACCATCCAGATGGAGTGACACTCTCACACACACGCTGTGGAGGGCTGCCAGCATGGACACACGATTGCATCAGTCTGTAATGCCCATCGTGTGCCAAGAAAAATTGCGACTGTCATATGGTCTGGGTTTTTGTTTCATGGCTCACCACTGATCTAGAGAAGCTGTTGTTTTAATTTGCTTTGCCTATAGCCATAACATTCTCAATGAAGACCACAGATTATATAACATGATGTGTAACCTTTGACTAGGATTTAAATTTAGAAATACAGGAGAGATTTTGGAAACTTTAGACTGTTTTAGTTACTCAGTTGTATAGCTAACATCATTGCTCACTTGAGATGGTCTTGCAGCAGATCACATCTTTAATGCATTAGTAAAGTCACAGAGAAAGCTGGATATTACTGAGCCTTGAGTATAGCTTTCCCTTGTCATGGATGGATAAACAGCAAAACTTTTTATAGGCTAAATCCCATAGCCCCCTGAATCTATTGGCCTCGGAGAGGAAATGGCTGTTCTACAACTGGTGTTGTATTTCTGCAAAGTTAGAAGTAAGTAAATTGTTGAAAGTTCCTGCCTTACTAAAGTTCATCAGCCACATGTTATGTTGTTTGTAGAACCCTGGTTGTGAAATTCTGATTTTTTTCTATATAATAAAACTATATTCTGTAGTAATTTTGTATATAGAAACATAATTACAGTCTAAAATTGTATGTTCTCGTATATGCAAGGGTTGTTAATGTTTTCCATATTCACATCCAGTTAACTGTCTTAGTTTTTACCACAGTATGACTTTCTTGAGGCATTTTCTGTCTGTGTGTTTTGTTCTCTTGAATAGTAAGATGTTCTTGATAAGAAAAATGCACTTTGGTATGGAAGGATTCTTAAAATTATGCTTCATGTAGACTTTCTAAATAATTACATAGTTAATAAGTTGATTTTCTGGGAATTCAGAGTTGAGAGACATGCACATTGCCACTTGAATAACCTTTCAAAATAGTTGTTAGGAAGTTAGCGTTCTGGTTTGGGTTTTTTTAAACATTTTTAAAGGTAGATATCTTGAAGGACTTGGATTTCTGTCTTTGATGCTGGAGAATGTAATTACTTTTGAACACATGAAAACAAGAATTTTCTACATTTTTGAAAATATGCTAGTATTTATTTAGTGTTGTACCTGTGGTTTTAAGGTTTTTTTTTTTTTGTTGATACCCTAGTGGTTGAACTCTAATCAAATGTGTTTAGTGTTCTGATTTTTTCTCCACTCTTTAATTTCTTGAAAGTAATAGAATGTGTGCATGAGTATTACTTACACATTTATCTGCAAATTAATAAAGAAGACTGTTTACCTCAACTGTTTATGGTATCAGTTTAAAGCCATCACCTGTTGTGGCTCTAACAGAAAATCTAGAAGAATTTTAAAGGATAAGCTGTTAAGATGCTGTCCCGAGCAGCCTTAATACACTGCATAGCTCACATACAAGATGGAAATTACTGACACTGATGAGAGGCAGCATAAGAACAATGTGTACTGGTACAGGCTTCTGGGAAGCTGAGTTATACACAGCATGAAAACACAAATTGTGTACCTGTGTGTCAGTTCTTGGTTTGTTGTAATCAGCTTTGGTGTGTGGGTTCTGAGTTATTAATGCTGCAGATGAAGGAATAGCTGGAGTCCAACAGGTCTGTATAGCTCCAGTGCTTTATTGCTATAGTTAGAACTTGCAAACCATGCAGTGTCTGATGGCATTCTGCAAGAATGCAGCTGTAATTGTGCTCAGAGCTCAGATCCATCTGCATCTTGCCCCTGCTGTCATAAACCATAGTGGAGCCACCATCAGCCCTTATTTAAGTGTAATTTAGCTAACTTAATTTAAATTTAACTGACTTTACTGCAGCAGAGCCACTGAGCTTGATCCATGCCATAGGACTGGTTCTGGGGGCATATGTTGCCTTCAGAATAACAGTAGGTCTATGCTAGCTGGTCTAGCTCTGTGTGTTGATGCCTATAACCTACAGTTATCCATATGCGTGATAAACATTATACTTGGAGTCGTGCTGCACTGCAACCATTACATGGCAGGATTCAAGCTGTGGAATACTTGAATGATGTACTTCTCTGGTCATCTAGTTTTTTGGTGGCTTTTTTTTCACTTCCTGTTACCTAGAATAATGGATTGTTGTTTGTACTTAAAACAGAGCTGCAGAGACGTGTCTAAATAAAGTGAAAGAGCTGTGAGGAGGTGTAAGTGAAGCAAAACCCTTGGGCAAATACAACACTTAAAGTGTTGAGTAAGCTACTAAATTAGGTACCAGGCTGATGTTATTTTGCTCTGCCCAACTTTGGTATAATGACAGGAACCCTATCTTCACATTGATGAAGTCATCTTGAAACAATTCTGGGTTAGGTACTGGGCTAGGTGCTGCTCTTGTGAGCCAGCTCTTTCAGTATTGATTACCAGAATGTTATTTAGCGAGCTGTAATAATGATAGATACTGATTTTATGAGTTGTATGAAAAGTAATTTATATTCTGAGATTTTTCAGTAATTTTTCATGCTATAGTTGGTTTTTTTGACATTACTGACTTTGTACTACTTTGGCCACCTTCAGTCCTTTCTATTCCTCCAACTTCAGATTAAGTGGTTTTTGTGCTTGAAAGTGTTATATGTGTATGTCAGGAGTTTTAGATATTTAGTCTAAATTTAAAATAAAGTGCTGTGCTTTTTGTATTACTTTAAAAAGTTCAAAACATAAACTTATGTGCTGTGTTGTCTTTATAAAACTTAAAAGTATTCAGTAGAGGCTGGTTAAAAGAGCTTCATAAGCTCTTTACCTATGAAGTGTGAGTAGCAAGGTGATGTACACTTACTTCAGTATTTGACAATTGTTGGTGGTAAGCAAGCCCCATATTATGTTGTCAGGGTAAAAAGAAAAAATTCTTGTTGAATTCTGTATTTTAGTGAAATACCAGAATAATGTTTCAAGTCATATGCAACATGACTGTGACTATGTGTTGTGGTTTAAGATTTCTTCTTGATTTATAAACAAACCAACCAACCTAAGGGAGTTTCTGCATTACTGATGAGAAAAGAATATCAAAAAAACTTAGAAATTTTTCACTTGAAAGCATTTTTTGCCATAAAGCATGTTTTCCTTTTAAAATAATACGTGTTAAATTTTTTAATATGAATGAGGTTTATGTTATGAACATCTGAGACAGCATATGTAACGAAATGTTCCTGCTGAAATGCGCATAGCCTTGAAGAACTGCTGCTGTTAGGAGTTGGAGGCAAGATTTCTGCTTTTGTTAGACATGTTATGAGCCATCAAGGATTTTTCGTATCTATTTTGCATAGTTACCTGAATTCTGAATCCTGCTTTCTATTGGATCGGCTGATTTCACTCCAGAGGTGTGTAAATGTTACCTTGTGACATAATGAAAGTCTTAGAGAAGCTATAATTTTAAATTATTCTTTTTTATATTCTTGCACATCCAATTTTGAGTAGTACTGGCAAGCTACTGTCATATTTGGTTAACAGACTCTTAGAAGCAGACTTTTGGGAGTCACTTCGATATTTGTCCAAAAAGGCTTTTTTGTATGAGCAGCTTACTCAAATGTTTTGAATACATAGTATGTGGTTTCAAGCAGAGTCTGTCAGAAGTCTCTAACTACTGATGGTTCCTGCCATAACTCTTCCTGTATGAAGATAATTTGTCCCTTTCTTTTCTTCTTTCCTTGCCTCTTGCCAGTAATGGCAAAGTCAAAGGTGAAATTAATTCTCTTGGCAGTTTAAATTTTGGCTTTCCAGCCCTTGAAATAAGATTGTATGTGTATATAGTACTTAATAGAAACCTCACGAGTATTTTGTTTTGTGTATTGCCAAAGCAGCTTTGGTCACAAAGGCACTCAAATAATTTTATTAGACACAAAAGAGAATTTTGTTGGAAAATCTATTTTCACTGCCAGAGGAGTGATGAGTTTTCTCAAGGGTACTTCAGAATAAGAGTTCTCCTACTGTACTGTTAGTGATCAAATTTGGTACGCTTAAGATCTATCTGCAGTACTACACATGGCTTGTGTTACTGAGTGAGTGGTGTGAAACATAAGCTGTTAGGAATTTGTGCTATATGTTTGGTCTCCTTCTGATTCTAGGTATTAGCCTTTGCAACAGGGTCCCAAATGTTTACTATCTGAATACAATCTATTCCTGTTCTTTAAAAGCATTCCTTTTAAAACTAGCTTTTATCCTACTCTCAACCTAGAGCTTAAAGTTGTACTATATCTAGTATTATGTGGATTAATCATATGTCCTTAATTTTGTTGCTGGAGTTCCAATTGTCTCATGTTTTATTGTATTAATGTTGCCTTGATGATAGAGTGCTCTGTTGCCCATTTAAGGATGTATTTGTACAGTCTTCAATTCACAAGTGATCTGTGTTGATTGGACTGTGACTTGTGGTCCGTCATCTCATTCTCATTGCAGTGGAGTTGAAAATAGAAGTATATGACAATCCATCTGTCATGGCAAGTTGATTTACTAGTAGTTCTCTCATTTCTGAAGAATTCTGAATTACTTTCATTTAATTCCTGACTTACTTGGATTTCTGTTCATAAATCTTCCAAAATCCAAGAATTCAAAAATACAAGTTTTTTCTTGTCTATTTTCCTTCTGTTCCAAAGTATCTGTAGACTTCTGAATTAAACATTGTCTTCAGCCCCATACAATGTTAATCTGAGGCACTTCTGGCAAGCACGAGTCAGCATTCCATTTGGTGATAGCTTTGGAGATGGAAAGACAGTGCACAGGACAAGTATGCATGGGTTTGCCTTGGTTGTAAGGGCCAGTAGATGATCAGAAGAGTACCAACAGGAAACAGACTTGCTTCTCACCAAATAAGTCTTTGGTGGTTGCAGCTAAACCTGTTTAATATCTCCATCCTGGCTTTTTCAGGTTTTTACTCTTAGGGAAATATATACATGTCTGAACACCCCAGGTACCAACCTGTTGGTCTGTCAGAGGTTTTAGTAACTCATGAGTGTATTCTAAGTTGTTTTTGAGCTGTTCTGGAAAACACGTTTAAAAGTGTTTATGCTTGAACAGTTACAGTGTCTTAGCTCTTTAATTTTTCACTCCCCATCCTTTTTTTGGTCCCCTTTTCATTTCCTCCTGAGGTCAATCCTGAGAAGGAAGTGGCATGTTAACCTAATTCAGCAAGGCTTTGTCTTGTACTTGAAGTCTTGTGCTGTTAATTTTTCTGTTGGATTGAAAGTGTTCACACGATTGATAAGTAATTTGCTAAGGGCATCTCTAGGTCTAGGAGTAGTTTTGCTTCAGAAAGGTGGCATGATCTTGTTGCCTTTTTCATGGCAATTTTATTTAGTCTTTGGTGTTTTCAGTGATGTAAAGGACCTGAAAAACATATTAATGTGGATGGTAGTTTTGGAGTTAAAAGGATCATGTGTAAAAGAATCTGTCACAAGGTTTGAAATACGGTACTGCTTGGAAGGTGAACTGTTGAAGTTTAACAGTTTCATTTTTTAATTGCCATTTGTGCTTATAATTAAGAACTTCTCAGCCTTCTAAGTTACAGGTGACAATTTTAATGTATAAAATGCAGTAGTCCAAACTTATTAATGGGGTTTCTTCCCTTTTAGGTTTGGTATTCACCCTGTGGCTGGCCGTATGCCTGGTCAGCTGAACGTACTGCTAGCAGAAGCTGGCGTTCCCTATGATATTGTACTGGAAATGGATGAAATCAATGAAGACTTCCCAGGTTAGTATGTGAGCCATAAGCCATTCCAGTAGATTGGATGATTTATTTGATTCTGTTCTTGCACTGCACAGGGATTTTAACAGCAGAAAGTCAAGAAGTCAAGCCATTCAGTTTCTCTCTGTAGAGGGCTAGAGGTCTTTTCTGGGGAGGAGGGTAGGGGGAGCTTCTTTTTAGTTGCTTCTAGTTGTGAAGTAACTGGCAAATGCTCTATCTTTATTATCTCTGTTATAATTTTCCTCTGCCCTGTCCTTGCAGAGGAGAATTATTATTACTTCTTTAGCTCAGGTATTGTGGATGACTTGACCCTATCATGTACTGCATTGTACTGGCAATTTCTTGCTTTTTTACATCTTTATTTAAAAGGCAGAAGGTTGCTGCTAAAGGTTTTTCAGAAGAATATTCAAAAGAAAAACCATGAAAAAAATTGAAAGTGATGTGTGTATTCAAACACATTTAAATATCAAAAGCTTTTAAATTTTGTGTGGCAGGGTGGTCTAATGAGTCCCTTGGAACTAGATTGTGGATGTGCGTAGTTTGTTAGAAGTAGCTGGCAGCACATTTGAACTCTAACATATAATTTGCCTGAGAAGTTTGTAAAAAACTTGTGTGCATGCTTAACCATTAGGGATCCTTCTGCCTAGAATGTGCCTCAGCCTCAGCCTTTCAATTTCAGATAATTTTTCATCAGTGTTATTTTCTTTGTCTTGCTGCAGAAACTGACTTGGTCCTTGTAATTGGTGCAAATGATACAGTTAATTCAGCAGCTCAGGAAGATCCGAACTCTGTCATAGCTGGAATGCCAGTTCTTGAGGTCTGGAAGTCCAAGCAGGTGAGATTAATTGAATGGAATTATCACCTAACTTAGCAAGATTTTAAAAACATTGTTTGTAGGATAAGCTAATGGGATTCTTCCACTATTCTAGTTCCTACAATAAACTTTTTTCCACATTGTCCAACAAAATGGTCAGTGCTTTCCAAGTGTGATGCACTGTTCATGATTTTAGAATCATCATCAAGTTCTTTAACCAGTGATAACTGCAATAGAAAAGATCAATTAGAGTGATTCTACTAGAATGTTTTTAGAATAAATGGTGGTCTGCTTACATCCACAGCCCTGAAACATTTCTGTACTAATACCTGTCTTTTTAAATTTATAGTTGACAACTTTAATATTGAGGTGGAAATACAAGAATGAATAATATGCTTAAATAAAATAAAAAATAATAATTAAAACCCAACAAATATCCCCCCCAAAAAAAGCAATCAAAACCCCAAAACAATGCATGGCTGAGTCAAGTAGAGCGCTTAGACTGCCCAAGTTGAACCAACAGTTTAGTTACCTTAGCAGTTTTGCTCTGATCTAAAGCACATATACTTATGTTTCCGTGTGTGAAATCTCTGATACCTTGTTCTAAATGCAGTTGTAGCCTCAGTTGTCTGTGGGTTATCCATTCAAATACTCAGTCACAGGCATATACATTTGTCAGCAGTGTGTATATTGCAATTTGAGAAATAAAAACACAGTTAAGATAAAGCTTCTCAGTTTCTCTGCTGAAGGTGCTGCAATTAACAGATTTGACACTTAATAGGTAGAACCATTGATCTTTGATTTTTTTAATGTCCTATGTTTGAAGCAATACAGGTGAATAGTAAAGAGACTGTTGCACCAAGTATTGATGTGAACACTTACCTGAATTTTGTCGCTATCAGGGAATTGAACACTTCAAAATTAAAGTCTCAAAACCCTTCAATGTTATGGTCATCAGTGGACATGCTTGCTTTGACTTTATTACATGGAATAAAGTAAATGCATGTGCAATGTCCACAATCTCTTAATCTGAAATATAATATTGTTTTTAACAAAATAATGTTTCTGAAATTGATCTGGATGTCAATTTATCTGCTATATTAAAATCTGAAATACATTTTCATAGCAGTGAGCACCCTGTTTTGTTCAGAGGTTTCTCAGAGTTTGTGGAGGTTGGTTTTGTGTTGCCTGTGTTTGAGGAAGGGTGGTGGCTGTGCTTTGCTGTTTCAAACATGAACTCTTTATGTGCAGGTCATTGTAATGAAGAGATCTCTGGGAGTTGGTTATGCAGCGGTGGACAATCCCATCTTCTACAAGCCCAATACTGCCATGTTGTTGGGAGATGCTAAAAAGACCTGTGATGCCCTGCAGGCCAAAGTCAGGGAATCGTACCAAAGCTAAATACTGATTTGTATTCTGCTCATATTTCTGACTACAGTTTTGTCACAGAGGTCACAGAAAATGAGAGGTGGAAGAATCTCTCAATGTCCTAAGGCAGCTGGCTTTTGGAGAAGACTGCATTGACTCCTAGGAGATGTAGTTCAGTCAGGGGATATAGACTTTTATAAAAAGATGGGCAGATTAGCCCTTCAAACTAAATCTCCAATGAGACAATGCATGAAAGAATGAAAATGTTCTTTTTAAGGTCAACATTGTGCTAGTACAAGAAGGAACTAATAACTTATGGCCATCTTTAAATAGTTACTGACTTCCTCCTCCTTACTGTCCGTACTTCTGTGTCTTGGTTTGACAAGACAGGAGTCTGTGAAGGAGGGCAAAAGCCTCCTGTGCAATGGAGAAGGTAAACCCCCTCCCTCCGAATTACCAGGATTTTTAAATTAAAAGGCTCTCAGGCAAAGATATGGGGATGGGAGTAACAATTCTTTTCTAGGAGAAAACTAGATAACAATTTAAAAAGGCAAATGCAATTGGTACAAACAAAACTAGTGGTAAAGTCCACAACCTGAGGAGTCGGGGTGTTGGTAGCAGTCCGGTTGAAATGATAGCTGCTCCTCTTGCAGTGGCTGATGAATTGCAGCTGAAGTGGTGATCTTTAGAAGGGTATAGTTTTCTCTGAAGATCTGGTGGCAGTTGGGCCGGTCTTCCTCTGTGCTGGGGCCGCCTCCGAGCTCTGCCGCCACCGCCTCACCGCGCTCCGGCTGCTTCTCTCAGGAGTCCTGCCGAAGGAACTGCTTCTCTCGGAATCCTGCCGAAAGGAGCTGCTTCTCTGGCAATCCCGCAAAGAGAGAGCTGCTCTGTCTCCCAAAAGGTACCCCTTTATACCATAAAAGAGTGCTTGGCTTCCCCCTCTGGGTGGAGCATCTCACAATGGGATGGTGTTACATTACCAGCCCTGCAGTGAGTCAGTCAATGGCCCATTAACAAACCATTACCTCTTCGGAGCAAACCATTGTTCTTGGAAGAGATAACAAACCTGCCCAACCTCCAACAGATGGCAAATAGAATACAAGCTTATCTTACAAACCAGGACATTCTGTCATGGAAATTTACTAAAAAATACGGTGCCAAAACTGTATTCAGTCTTATCATCAAAGCTGTTTTTTGGCTAGTATGGCCAATGCAACTGTTGATTTCATCAAAACTTAAATTTCAAACAGATGCAAGCAGAAGCAAATCCTTGCATGCCCCTTCAAACTCAGGACTCTCTGAAATAGATGCTTACATGATTTGAGATCTAAGCATAATGTTCTTTTTCTTTTGGGGATTGTATGGATGCTGTTTATCAAGAATATTTTAGGAAAGTTACTTTTCTTTAAAATACGGTTCCACTTTTTATGGTGCACACTTATGTTAAATGAAACACAGGATATCAGGCACTTGCCAAGTAATCTTCAAGTCTGAGAAGGAAATGTACATTTACTTGCACTGCTTACCTCTTTTAAGCAGCTGCTAAATTCTCCATAATTTCCAGTCATTTCCTTTTTAAGTGTCTGAGAAGAAAGGTGGTCCAGTTCTGCACAGGCAGAATGTCTTGCATACAGGATCTGTTCACAGAATTTGGACCATTGTTTCAGTTTGTTCACTTAGCTTTTAGTTGTACTTATCACTTTAGTAGTAGTGATGCTTAGTGATGCTTTCTTAATTAATATTCCTGTGATGCTGAGAAAGCCACATTTGAACTCTCCCTGTCTATTCTGCTCATGTGAGATCCCAGCTGAATTGCTGTCTTCAGCTCTGGGGCCCCCAACACAAGAAAGATGCTGACTTGTTGTAACAAGTCCAGAGAAGGCCACTAAGGTGATCACAGGCCCTGAGCACCTCTGCTGTGAGCACAGGCTGAGAGAGCTGGGACTGCTCAGCAGGGAGTGGAGAAGGTATTGGTGACACCTTGTAGCACCTTCCAGTAGCTAAAAGGGACACACAAGAGGGCAGGAGAAGGACTCTGCACATGGGCATGTAGTGACAGGACAAAGGGGAATGGCTTCAAACTGCAAAGGACAGGTTTAGACTAGATGTTAAGAAATTTTTTGCTGTGAGGGTGGTAAGGCACTGGATCCGGTTCCCACAGAAGATGTGGATGCCTCATCCCTGGAATTGCTCATGACTAAGGCCGAATAGGGCTCTGAGCAACCTTGTCTAGTGGAAGGTTCCCTGCCCATGGAGTTCCAATTGCATCTGGATGGTCTTTAAAGTCACTTACAAACCAAGCTATTCTATGCTTCTATATTTAAGATGCTGAAGTTCATTAGAATTTTTCTAAATAAATAAGCTATTGTTTGGACAGCACAGAAACATACTAAACTTAAAAGCCAGTGTTTTGATTGTTTGACTTTTCACTAATCTAATTAAAAGCACTGTTTTAATTTCCATAATAAGTCCAGCAAATTTAAATTATGACATAGATTGCTGTTTCGTTTTTATTCTAGTAAGTATCCTTGACTGAAATTCAAGTATTTGCCTAATAACGTGGATTTGTGATATTTCCATTTCTTGGTTGAGAGAACAAACATATAAAATACAACATTTCTTCTTCGCTACCTCTATTTTTACGTGAAGATACTTAAAACACAGGTTTTGAATAGGTAATAAATTAAAAATGTAACAACATACAGCAGATCTATCATGTTTGCAGATCTCTTTTCTATGATTTGACATAAAATTTTTCATGCAAGTACTAATATGTTGTATACCGCAGGAGAAGGCTTGTAATTGGATTTTAATTTAAAACACTGTGACAGCTTTATTTGAATGTAGCATGTATGGCCTCTCAATTTCATTGTATTCAACTTTCCCTTCAGTTCTATAAAAAATAGGAGGGAAATTGGAGAAGAGGGAAGGCAAATAATTAATTCTCCATCTCCCTCCCAACTAAGCAAAAGAAAAAAGGGGATTTGTAGGGATCTAACATGCTAAGGCTCAGTTATTTGTAGTAAATAAATGGAACATTTAAGTTCAAAGAAACGCACAAAATCAAGAGTGTTTTTCTCTACCAGCTAAAGCATTAATTTTTGTCTTGTCAAACAAGTAGTTTGACAAGTATACAGCTGCAGTATGCATCATGTCTCTGCTCATAGATGGCTAATAAAAGATCGAGCTTTTCTTTAAAAAATAGCAAATGAGGGAGGGGGAACACTTTCATTTGTACTTGGACAAAAACCCCATTCTGTTACTTTGGATCAAGAGTACCACGGTTCTCTTTAACATTTGCTTTACTGAGGAACACTAGATAATTGTTATTTTTCTCTGTTGATTACTGTGTTTTTCTCCTGTTGTTTTTCCTGAGTAGTTAACTAGTCCAAGGTTACTTTTGAAAGTTAAAAGAATCAAGCTGCCACCAAAGGATGTTGAGATTGAAGGCTGTAGTGAATAGAAATCATAATAAAATATTTTTTCTTTTCTAATTGTATTGGTTCTTTACATTTTTTCATTCTAGGTATGACTGTCACCTGACTGTAGCAACTTCACTTAGCTTTTCTAGTAAATGAAAAGGTTTAGACAACTGAGAGTGATTGAACAAGCTATATGTTGCTTTTTTTGAGATTAAAGAAGATAAAAGAAAAGCTGTAATAACTGATTAGTCTGAGTAGTTAATTTTCCAGTGGCTGGAGTTTGAGATGAATACTATTCCTTTGAGCCAGGTACAATATAGATTTGCTTCCACTGTTTTTTAGTTCTACAAGAATGTTGAGTTGATTGCTGTGATGATTCCATTTCTACCTTCAAAGTGATAAGTGAATAATTTTAGCCATTTGACAGTGTTCAGTAATATCACAAGTTCGACATACAGCTTTCATGTTTTCCTCAAGCTGGTGAAGCCCAGACTGGAGGTCTCTTCCTGAGGCTGCAGCTTGGTGTTGGCTCATCAAGTAACCTGTGCTCGCTCTTGATGGAGAAAGGGAAGCACATACACAGAGCCTGTGGGTTTGTAGTGTGACGGAGGGTAATGACCTAGCCTATGTCCTGTGGGTCTGAGTGCTGCTTTGAAGATTTTCCTCTCTCTACCTTATTTCCAGCTTCTTATTATCACTCAAGAGATCTTTGCTCTAGCCTGACTCAAGCAGGTTATGAAAATCTGTTCAGGTCATGGCAAAACAGTGCAGCAAGAATGAGAGTATGCAAGCCACTTGTCTCTGTTCAGCTGTGGAGCTTTTGCAGTTTGCAGTGTGTGCCCATGACTCACTAAGAACTTTAATATTTGCTGGGTTTTTAAAAATTTTATTTATTTTAATACAAATTGTTACAGCACTGAAGCTACAGAGAAATTTAGTTTGGAAAGATCTGCTAATTTGGGTCAGTTCCCTGCTGAAAACAGATCCAATTTGATTAGACTGGTACAGACTTCCATTTGAACTTGGTGGAGATGTCAGCCTCCCTGTTGTTACAGTTTTCAATTCTTCCAGTTGGGAACAAATGATTTTTTAAAAAATTGTAATTGGAATTGCCTTTTCAACTATAATTAGAATTTCCTTTACTGGAATTGCCTGCAACCTCAGGAGACCAGTTTGCCCAGTTGTCCCAGTCTCCAGCAGCACTTCATACCCTTTAGCAGGTGATGTGCTCCCCCATCTCTGGAATGCGCTGACTGTGCAAGCATCCAGTCCCCTTTGCAATACCCACCTGGTGTTCTTATCTTAGACAAACACTGAACATCAGAGGCAGCTGAAAGGGAGGGCTGCATGGTGGGAAGATGAACTGAAGCCCAACTATTTTTCATCATTTTTCCACTCTTCTTTAGCCAGACACTTATTTACATCAGAAGTTAAATTTATAAAATTTGTTATTTTGAAGAAACACGCTTCTTACATTATGTACTGAGAAGTACAAAAATTTTTGTGCTGTTAAACTGGCTTTGAAAATTTTTGTAAGTTGGGCAATTTTACAGTTTACAGAATGACAAAGTTTCTGTTATGTGATCTATCAATCTGTCCCTCAGATTCTTGCTTTAGTATATGATATGGTTTCTG